AGAAATCCTAAGAAAGAACCAAAAATAAGAGTTAAAGTTAGAGTTAAAAATAACAGAAATGAAGAATTACTTTGATGGACTTTCTAGTAGTAGACTGGACAGAGCTGAGGACAGAATCCCTGAGCCAGAGGATACCTCAGTGGTATTCTTGAAAACTGAAAAGGAAAGAGAACAAAGACTGAAAAAATGTGGAATATCCAAGGCTGACAAGATAGCTGTGAAAGACATAACATACATGCAATGGGAATATCAGAGGGAGAAGTAAGAGAAAGTAGAAGAAATATTTGAAACAATAATGATTGAGAATTTCTCCAAACTAATATAGACATTAAACCACAGTCCCAGGAGGCTCAAGAGTTCACCAAGCAGGATAAGTGCCTGCCTGCCCCCCCCTACCCCAAATGACACCTAGGCATATCATTTTCAAACTATAAAAAATCAAAAGTAAAAATCCTGAAAGAAGCCAGAGGAAAAAATATACCTTGCTATAGTGGAAGCTCTGTATCTGTTGAATAAGCCACTCCCTCTTTCTCCCTCTCTCAAGGCCCTGGCAATGATCATTCTACTTTCTGTATGAATTCGACTTCTTTAGTTACCTCGTGTAGGTGGAATTGTGTTATTTGCCCTTCTGTAACTGGTTTATTTTACTTAGCATAGTGTCCTCAAGGTTCATGCATGTTGTCACATATGACAGAATCTCCTTTTTTAAAGCTGCGTATATTCCATTGTATGTTTATACCACATTTTCTTTAACATTTCAATCCATGGATGGACTTTAAAGGTTTTTTCTACCCCTTGGCCACTTATGAATATGCAGTAATGAACATGAAAGCACAATGATCTCTTTAGGTTCCTATTCTCAGTTCTTTTGGACACCAGGAGTGGGATTGGTAGATTATTTGTATTTGTATTTTTAATTTTTGGAGAAAACTTTATATTGTTTTCCATAGTGGCTGTATCATTTTACAGTTCCACCAACAGTGGACAGAGTTGCAATTTCTTCATATCCTTGCCAGTACCTTTTAATCTTTGTTTTGTTTTTGTTTTTGTTTTTATAATGGCTATCCTAACAAATGTGTGACAGTATCTCATAGTTTTGATTGACATTTCTCTAATGATTTGTGATGTTAAGCATCTTTTCATATACCTTTTGGCCATGTATTTGTCTTCTTAGAATAAATGTCTTTTTAAGTCCTTTGCTCATTTTTTTAAATCAGGTTTTTTTCTGCCAAGTTGCAGGAGTTCTTAATATATTTTGGATATTTACTCATCAGCTAAATGATTTGCAGATATTTTCTGCCATTTAGTAGGTTGCTTTTTCATTTTGTTGATTTCTTTTGCTGTGTGGTTTTAGTTTGATGTACTCCCACTTGTCAATTTTTGAGGGTAAGGAAGGGAGAGATAGGGAGAGACATATTGACATGAGAGAGAAACATTGATTGGTTGTCTTTCATTCATACCCTGACCTGGGACCAGGAACCACTCTTGTACACACTCTGACAGGGGACTGACCCACAACCTCTGCATGTGCCCTGACCAGGAGTCAAACCCACGGCCTTTCAGTTTACAGGATGATACTCTAACCAACTAAGTCACACTGGCCAGGGCTCTGCTTTAATATTTTTTATTTCCTTCCTTCTGTTAACTTTGGGTTTAGTTTACTCTTTTCTAGTTTCTTGAAGTGTAAAGTTAAGGTCTGTATTTGAGGTTCCTTTTTTTTTTTTTATTAATGTTGTATTCATGACTATATATTTCCCTCTTAACTGTTTTGCTTCATTCCATTAAGTTTTGATGTATCATGTTTTTGTTTCTCTCAACATATTTTCTAATTTCCCTTTTGATTTATTTTTTGACCCATTGATTGTTCAAGACTCTGTTGTTCAGTCTCCACAGATATGTGAATTTTCTAGTTTTCCTTATCATAGTGATTTCTAGTTTCATTCTGTTGTGGTCATAAAAAGATATTTGATATAATTTTATTTTTTTTTAATTTGATATGACTTGTGTTGTGACCTAATATGTGATCTGGAGATCTCTACACCTGGAGAATATTCCATGTGTACTGGAGAAGAATATATCCTGCTATGGCACGGGATATTCTGTATATGTCTGTTAAGTCCATGTGGCCTGTAATGTTTAAGCCATCTGTTTCCTTATTGATCTTTTTGTCTGGATGTTCTATCCCTTATTGAAACTGGGGTATTAAAGTCTATTACTGTGTTGTAGTCTGTTTCTTTGTTCATTTTGTCAGTGTTTGCTTTAAATATTTTTGTGCTCTGATATGGGGTTTATATGTATTTATAGTTATGTATTTCTGATTAATTGACCTTTTATTGTATAGTGCTTTTTGTTTGTTTCTTGTGACAGTTTTTGACTTAAAGTCTAGTCTTATGTGTGTATAGCTACTTCTGTTCTATTTTAGTTATCATTTCTTTGGACTGTCTTTTTCCAGTTTTTTACTTTCAGCCTCTCTATGTCCTTAAATCTAAAGTTGAGTCTCTTCTGGATAGTATGTAGATAGGTTTTTTTAAAAAATACCAAAGTAGCTGCTATATGTCTTTTGATTAATAAGTTTAATTCTTTCGCATTTAAAGTAATTACAGGTAGAGAAGAACTTACTATTGTCATTGTGTTCCTTATTTTTGCCTTGCAGATTTTTTGTCATTTTTTTTCTCATTGTCTTCTTTTATGTTTCGCTGACTTTTTAAAAATAGTGACATGCTTTGATTCCTGTTTCATTTCCTTTTGTGTATCCATAGGTGGATTTATTTTGAGCTTACCATGGGTCTTACATAAAACATCTTACAGTTGTAACAATCCCTTTTGTGCTTGTAAAAATCTAACTTCAGTAACTCTGCTCTTTTCTTTCCCCACATAGACTTTGTTATCATGTCACAAATTACATATTTTATGTTGTGCATCCATAAATATTTTTTTACAGTTATTTTTATACTTTCATTTTTTTACTTCTGTGCTAAAATTTGAAAGCGGTTGTTTTAGTTTATTTTTTCCTTTTTTAATTTTTTTTATTGATTATGCCATTACACATTACACATTTTGTTCTACTTCCCCCCCCTCTGTTCCCCTCCACCCTGCACACCCCTCCCCCACCATTCCCCCCTTTAGTTCATGACCACGTGTCTCAAGTTCTTTAGATTCTGTATTTCCCCTACTATTCTCACCCTCCCCCGTCTCTATTTTCTGTCTACTGTCTATGCTACTTATTTTCTGTACCTTCTCCCCCCTTCTCCTTCTCCCACTCCCCTATTGCTAATCCTCCACGTGATCTTCATTTTTATGGTTCACTCCTGATCTAGCTGTCCTCTTAGTTTGCTTTGTTTTAGGAGTGGTTGTTGATAACTGTGAGTTTGCTGTCCTTTCATTGTTCATCTTTTTTATCTTCTTTTTCTTAGGTAAGTCCCTTTAACATTTCATATAATAAGGGCTTGGTGATGATGAACTCCTTGAATTTGGTCTTATCTGAGAAGCACTTTATCTGTCCTTCCATTCTAAATGAAAGCTCTGCTGGACAGAGCAATCTTGGTTGTAGGTCTTTGGTTTTCATGACTTGAAATACCTCTTTCCAGCCCCTTCTTGCCTGTAATGTCTCTTTTGAGAAATCAGCTGACAGTCTGATGGGAACTCCTTTGTAGGTGACTGTCCCCTTATCTCTTGCTGCTTCTAGGATTCTCTCCTTCATTTTAATGTTGGCTAATGTAATGATGATGCGCCTTGGTGTGTTCCTTCTTGGATCCAACTTCTTTGGGACTCTCTGAGCTTCCTGGATTTCCTGGAAGTCTATTTCCTTTGCCAGAATGGGGAAGTTCTCTTTTATTATTTGTTCAAATAAGGTTTCCACTTGTGACTGTTCCTCTTCCCCTTCTGGTACCCCTATAATTCGAATGTTGGAGTGTTTAAGGATGCCCTGGAGGTCCCTAAGCCTCTCCTCATTTTTTTGAATTCTTGTTTCTTCAGTCTTTTCTGTTTGATCATTTTTTCTTTCCTTCTGGTCTACTCCCTTGATTTGAGTCCCATTTTCCTTTCCATTACTATTGGTTTCCTGTGCATTACCATTCATTTCAATTAGTTTAGCTTTCATATGTTCCTCTAATTTGTGACTAAAATCAACCAGTTCTGTGAATATCCTGATCACCAGTGTTTTGAACTGTGCATCTGAAAGTTTGGCTATTTCTTCATCACTTAGATTTATGGGCTCTGGGGCTCTGAGTTGTCCTTGAGCCATGTTTTGATCTGTTTGTGCCTGTTACGTATGAGGAGCGGAGCCTTAGTTGTTTACCAGGGCGGGTCACCCCTATCGCTGGGTTGTGATGCTGTATGTGGGGGCAGGGTCAGAGAGGGAGCAATGGCAGTTCTCTCTGCTTGCCCAGTCTGTCCCACTGCTCACCCCCGCCTGTTTATCTGAGCGTAAATGTGCGAGCCCACCGCCTTGCGCCGTGTGGTCTCAATGCTCACTTCTTCACTGGTTTATCTGCATGTAAATGCTCGACCGACCGCAGACAGCCAGCCGCGCCTCTTCCCCGTGTCTGCCTGTAGCTAGCCCGCACCTGGGAACCGCGCCTTCGGCTGCTTGCGCACCAACCCTGGTCGCAGATCTTTTTGGCCAACCCCCTCCGCTGCTGGCTTCACCCCTCTTACCGGTTTAGCTGAGCATTTCGTTGTTTTGGGACTCTGTATTGTCGATTTTCTGTGTGGTGTGGTTGTGTTTATTGTTGTTAAAACTTTGTTGTTTTTAGATTTGGTTGTGTGAGGACGCACAGCCAAGGTGTTTCCACCTATGCCTCCATCTTGGTGGAAGTACCTATTTTTTAATTTTTTAATTTTTTTTTTTTAGAAATAATTTGTAGAGTTTAGCATTAGTTATATACATTTTGTGGCAAAGTTCTAATTTTATTATATTTCAAATTTTAAAACCTTTCCATAACAAATTTATATATAAGTTGAATAAACCTAACCAGTATTTTTTTTTATTGTTTAAACAGAATTTTGAGACTGATGGTCAACCATATAGAAGAATACATTGAACCTGTAGTTTTCTGAAGAATCAGTTCAAAAGATCCCCAAAATACAAAAGGTAAAATGATAGGATTGTATCTTGGAATGCACTTTGCAATGACATTTTTCAGAAAAGTATATTTTTAAAAATCCATAAATTGTCATGACAATAATTTGAAGATAGTTTTACTTAAAATTTTTTCTTGCATTAATTTAGTCTGCAATATTTATTGTGTTAGCTATGTTCAGATACTATTTAGGATACTGTGCTGATCAAGACAGAAATTATTTCTACTCTTAGGATTGCAATTTAAAGAGAGGGAGGATACATAAATACGAATGAAAAAATTTGTGGTTCTATGTAGAGAATTAAAATGGATAAGAGACTTGATACAGAGACTAGTGACTGCTTCCATTAGGTAGTTAGAGAAGCCCTAAATGAATAAAAATGTGTCAATTGAGATCTGAAAGGCAAGAATGTGCCAACCATATGAAGATCTGAAAGAGGTCCCCTCCCTTTGGCGGTTACTGTGGGAGGAGGCAGGGAAACTAGAATGACCATGGAATGCCTGAGGAACTGAGAGAGCAAATGTGGTTGGAGTAGAGGAAGTGGGAAAAAGTCTATACGGAGTTCAGGTAGGGAAAGAAAATGGGAGAGAGGCTGAGTTGCAGAAGAAAGGCGAGAAGAGTTCTGTTGTTATATGATATTTTAGACACCTGTAAAATCTGTTGTAATATTTAAAAAGTTGCATATATGACTCTGAAGTTGAGAATCAGGTCTGGGGGTCTGGAATTGGGAATTTGGGTGGCATAGTAGAAGAGTTACTTAGAGTCATATGTCTGTGTGAAATTATTTAGGAATTGTGATTGAGAAGGATTTAGCTGTGGGACTCACCATTGTTAATCAGGAGAGGAGCAGCAGCCAGCGACATGGGTGGAAAAGCAAGAGAGTATTTTGTCACAGAAACCAGGAAAAGTGTTTAATAAATGCAGAAGTGGTCAGCTGTATCCCATGCTACTAAGATGTCAAATAGGGAGTAAAGCAGCCATTAGATTTGGTAACATGAATATCATTGATAACTAATATGAGTGAAAAGTCTTAGAGTGTGTAAGGATGAAAGCCTGAATAAAATTGATGAAAAGAGGGAGAAACTTACTGTTAAAGGTGGCACACAATACAATTAAATTTCATTTCCTCTTAAAATTTTACTAAAGCTGAAGTAAAAGGATTTTTATAGAATACAACTTCACAAGAGCAAAGAGAATAGGAGAGGAAACAACTGCAATGCAATTTTACAGCCTGAAGAGTGAAAGGAAGTGTGGTAACTGCCTTGTAGATCCTGGAATCCTAAGCTAGTTGTGGGAATGCTGAGAAACAAACTTCATGGTACTACAGAATCTCTAAAATGTTCAGGAATTGAAAAGTACTCTTTATTTCTACAAGTAGGAGTGAGGGTAGGACTAAAAACAGGATGATTTATTGAAAATAGTTTTTAGAAGTAACTCTATAGATCATTTTCCTGACTGGAAACCCAGGTAACTACCTCTTCCTTGTCATAACTGAAGACTAGAGATTTATTCTCTAGCAAGAATAAAATAGGCATAAAAATATTCCTATTATAGTAAAACAAAACTATAATAGCTTCAATTATAATAGTGTAAACAATAAAATATACTAAAAAATAATTTAGAGAGGCAAGAGATGCTGAATCCATGAAAAAGAAAATAAGAAATGGAATCAGAAATAAAAATGTCAGTGGAAATTTTGAAAAATAATATTTATGCTTTGAAAGTAAAGAAAAAAATGGGAGGAAAAAATAAAAGTGGAGCAACTGTCCAAAATCTTTAATATTCAGTAAAAGGAGTTCCACAAAGAGAATTGAATGATAAAAGGGAGAAATAGACTCTTCAGAATTAGAGGACACAAGTTTCTAGGTATTGGGGTTGTCCAAAAAGTTCATTTAGTTTTTTCCGTGCTATTGCTCTATTAGTGCTTAGTTGTCTTTAACTTCATTGGAAACAATTTTGTTAGATTGTGTTGTGACAGCTGTCATTTCAGTGTACATTTAAAAAAGCACTCAAAATTGGTGCAGCTATTGTAATGTTGAAGATGGAAGAAAATATGCAACATTTTCAGCATATTATGCTTAGTTATTTTAAGGAAGATAAAAACACACTGAAAAGCAACAGAAAATTAGTGCAGTGTATGGAGAAGGTGCTGTGACTGATCAGAGATGTCAGAAGTAGTTCATGACGTTTCCTGGTACTATGGACATTTTTGCCAAATAATTGCTGTTTAGCAGCAGCCCTGGCTTCTACCTACTATAAAACAATAGCAGAAGATAGCCAACATACTCACAGTACCCAAATCAATAAGATTATTGGTAAAAATGAAAAATGTGTCTTTTATGGAAAAAACTAAATAGACTTTTTTTGTCACCAAATAAAAAGAGCTCATAACATGACCAATACAGATAGAAAAATTAGTCTAAAATATGGCATCACTGTTAAATTTTAGAACAAAGGGACCTCCCAGAATAAGTGAAATAGTGGGTCACATATAAAGGATCAGTAATCATAATGACTTTGGACTTTCTCATAACCACATTGGAAACTAGTAGGCAACAGAGCCTTCATAATTCTGAGAGAGAAATGATTTCAAACTCAATATTTAGTATTCAGCTGAACAGTTGATTAAGGATAGACTAATGACAATTTTAAGACTTGCATTGCCTCAAAAAATTGCATCTGCCATTTCTTTTTTCTTGGGCAGTTATTGTAAAAGGTACCAAACAAAAAATAAAGAAGGAAACTAAAGATGTAGCCATATAAGAAACAGGGAATGCAACTTAAGTAGAGACCCAGGAAACTACTAGGATGATACTGATTAGTGATCCCAAGATTACAGTTGGTCACCAGTTACAGAGAACATCCAGTGCCAGTAGGAATAGGTCAGAGGGTGCCAAGAGAAACAGCTATGAGAAGATTAAATTGATAGAATGCATGATGTGTTCAACAATATTAAGAATAGATTTAGATAGGGAAGAGTTTGGGGCAGTATTGGTCATAAGTATATAGAGAGCCAGGTAAATAAAAACCAACAGGACAGTTTTTAACTTTAGGGAAAACTACTCAGAAAGAGAAAGTAATTGTAGTGTACCATACGACCCTGCTGTGATTGCATTTACAGAGTCATTAATAATACTAACTCTGAATATAACCACCTTGCCAAAATTATGATGTTGGTAATTTGTGCAAGTGTGCATGTGTTTGAGGCCAAGATGGGGAAGTAGAAGAGAGATAGATTCTTCTTTTTCTTAGTGGACTTCAATAGCTGATGCCTAAAAAAATACAACACTATTGACAGCAAAAACAAATAATTTTAATAATTACATTGGGACAACTTAAATTGAGACTGTGTCGGCATACTACCTAAAAATAGAAAAAATCAAGAAGTAACAAAATAAAGATACTAGAGATAGTGACTTAACTACCAAAGAAACAAGAAGATGAAAGTTGGAAATGAGAATGAGAGGACATTTGAATTTTTAGTTTGTCCTACAACACTTTTTGGATGCTTTAAACTGTGAACATGTATACATTGGTAGAAAAAAGCTTGTAAACACCAAATTTTAAAATAAGAAAGCTAATGTAATCCAAGATGTTGAAACAACAATAGCACACAACTCTGACAATTAGTGTTCTAGTGAAAGGGGACAGAAAAGGAAGGCAGCACCTGAAGGGGGTTGGTGAGTCATGGGAGTTTTTTATTTTATTTTTTTATGGTAAAATACTAAGATGTTAATCAGATTAATCTCATTATAAAGGGAGAAATTAGAGATGTGGTATTGGAAAACCTTGAGAGGTGACAGCAGATGGATGGGTTTTCAGAAGACGTAGTATCATGTCATTAGATACTGCCCAGTTTATTTTTAATACAGAGTATGTCATTTTGTATATAAGGATTATTTTCCAAAGATGGAATGTCAGGCACTGAGATTTTCTGTTAGTTATTTGTAATGTTCCATGTTTATTTAAAAACATACCTGCTTCTTATTTAGCAAAGTTTTGGCTTGTTTATAAACTTTCTTAATTGCTAATACCTCCCCATTGAATAAATATGTTTTATAGGTAGAAAAGGGTAAAGGGGGACTAAATAGTGATGGAAGGAGACTTGACTTGATGTGATAATTACACAATATAATCTACAGATGATTGTAGAATTGTATACCTAAACCTATAGAATTTTATTAACCATAAAACCTTTGGATCCCTATCACCTACAGAATAAAATTCAAGCCCCTTAGCAAAGCATATGAGGAATATCTGCTATTCTGGATACAACCAGCCTTGCTTCACCATATACTACCTGCATATTTCCCCCATCTCTACTGGGGTTCTTAGTTTCCCCACCTTCATTTTAAAAAAAAGCTTATTTTCAAAACGTTTATGAAAGACTTATGCTGCCCTTGGGCTTCATTGTTATAAAATAGTAAGTAATGTGGTGCTTACTCATCTAGAAAGTCGTATCACTGAATGACTTTGAACTCAAGTTGCTTATGTAAAGGAACGTTTGATTTCTAGCTGTAACTTGATCTTTTATAATTTAATTTGTGAACTTTGGATTTCAGTGACTAACTGATCCTTTCAGAAACATATTGCATGCCATACTGGCCTGTTAACATCAATATTTAAGAAAAAAGACTTTTTATAATAAAACAACCTATATTAGATTATATACTTGAAATTCCTTGCTATATGTAGGGACATTACATTGTCCCTAAAACTGAATTTTCAGGATCCATAGTGTGGGCAAATGTGACTGGCTCATCCTTTTGTATTGAAAGTGGAGTCCTAGGGCAGCTGTCACACAGGACTTTTGGCTGTTCCCCCATTACCACTTTATTTTCTTAAAATTACCTTGACACCATTTAAAGAAGTCAAGAGGGATCTTCTAACAATTGGTCCAGAGTTCTTAGGCCTGTCTCACTTTTCCCCTTACCTTTCCCTTAAATATAGCACATCTGTCAGTTGGCTGGAAAAGATTTTGTACCACACTGTTAGACATATAGTCTCACATTGTTCAGTTAGCCAGACAACAAATAATGTTTGAAGACTATTGTTGACACTAATAGTAAAATAGCCTAGTATAGCATTGGTCTGTATCTTTAAACCATTTTGTATTCATTCTTCTCGTAGTCAGCATGGCCCTTCTACAGTCTAAGCCTTAATTCTTGGAGTCCTTTATTAATTTTCTAGTTTGCCCTATTTTACGTTTTGATGATTAAATAAGCATATATTCCATGCCATATAAAGCTCAGATCTGGCCTTTTAACTTTAAACCGAAACTGTTCTTTTTAAATTCATTGCAGTTGGCATTTTTACCTTTGTACTATTCGTTTTGTTCCAGTGATGGAACCACTCTCAGTTATTACCAGGATGATCAGTATGTCTTTTGGACCAGAAAGCTGTACTTAAGTGATTTTTAGTCTCTTCTGACGCTAAAATTCTGTAATTCCTGTGTTCCATCTGCTGATGTTAGCCCAGACATTTAAAATCAGTATTTATCCTGGTGCTAGTTTTTTTTAGTTACCATAGGGGATCACTAATTTTCTTTTAAGAAGTCCTAGCGCTTCACAGTCTCAGTTCTGGAGCCATAACCACTTGGGCAATGCAGCATCATTTATGAAGGGTTATTCTCTTTTGCTCTCATGAATGTATGTTTGAAAACGATAAAATATTCTAAAGTATTAGAATACTCTCACGTTCTTAGAATACTCTTAATCTTATCTGATTTAGTTAGTATAACATACTAATTTATACTAGCTTCTAAATTTTAAATAAAAATGTAATAAAACTAGAATTTTTTTTATGCCTCAAAACTATTATGGTATTAGAATTAAGGCAGTTTTTCAATATTTAACTTATGACTATAGGACAAAGTATCTTGTATGGATTAAACCTTCCTTACACTTTAGAAATACTGTAGACAAAAGAGACAAATTTTAGGCTTATGATTCAGTTCTAAAACAGTAAATCTTAATTTCTTTAATGTGAGTGTAAGACTCTTTGGTTCTTCTTTACTTGCTTTCACCACTACCAGGCATAGCCTCTCTATGCTCCAGTGATTAAACCTTTAAGTTGTTAACATGCCTAAATTTTTTTCTAAAGAAAATGCTAATCCTTTTAAAATATCCCAGTATGATGCTACTTCATCTCACAAACATTGTGCCTTTGCAGTTACCTATTCTTGTGATTTGGAATCATTTCAACTATGACCTCTTATGTCCTCTGTTCTGTTATTTCTGAAACTTAAATGGTGATAGAAATCTTCTGGGGACTTTATTAAAATGTCACTCTGATTCAAAACTACTGGGGTAGGGCCCAAGCTCACAGATATAACTGATGCTGATGGCTCTGGATCGTATTTTAGCAACAACAACATAGACTGTCTGGCAAACTCACAATTATCAAAGAGTATGTCCTCTGACTCCTCCCTCTGTACCATCATCATTCCTTTTATTATAATTATGTAGGTATATCTTCCTATTTAATTCAATATTTTTGCCTAGAAGGACTGTGTCTTTCATTGTTATATTCCCAAAGCTTACCATACTGTATAACAAAATAAGCTTGCAACAAATGTTTACTGTTGATTAGATAGTGTTTATTATAGGCTATTTATAGTTACTAGTCTAATACATTGGGTTGTCCAAAGAGTTTATTTCTGTAAGATGATTCTAGTAGTGCTTAGTTATCTTTAATGTCACTAGAAATAAGTTTGTTAGATTGTATTGTGGCAGCTGTCATATCTGTGTGCATTTAAAAACAATTTACCAGAATTGGTGAATTTTTGTGTAGCCCTTTTAATATTAAAGATGAAAGGAAATATGCAACATTTGTATCGTATGCTTTTATTATTTCAAGAAAGGTAAAAATGCAGCTGAAATGCAAAAAAAAGATTTGTACAGTGTATGGAGAAGGTTCTGTGACTGTTCAAATGTGTCAAAAGTAGTTTGCAAAGTTTCATGCTGAAGATTTCTTGCTGGACAGTGCTCCATGGTCAGGTAGACCAGTTTGAAGTTGATAGCAGTCAAATCGAGACATTAATTGAGAATAATCAATGTTATACCATGCAAGACATAGCTGACATACTTAAAATATCCAAGTCAATAAAGTTATTGGTGAAAATGAAAAATGGTTTTTTATTTTATGGAAAAAACCACCCAAACTTTTTGGCCAACCCAGTCTATGAGTATTAAGCATAGGTTTTAAATTTTGATTATTTTATAGTACAAAGAAAATGAATTGTGAGCCTCAATTTTTTCCTGCAGTTTTTTTTTGAGAAGGAAAAATGGGCTCAAATGTGTCCTAAGCTGCTTGCTTTTGAAAATATTTCAGCCATTAGTACAAACAAAAGTATTTTGAAGTCTCTATAACAATATATAGTGTTTCTCAAGATTACTATGTTTGCAGAATAAGTTTTTTAGAAAACTAACAACTTATTTTTCTTTCCATCCAAGGAGAAGTACAAATGTCTACCACGAGACGAAAACGTAATATGTTATGTTGTTTACCGTAAGCTGCAGTAAAATGAGCTCGATTGTTGACAGGTATGTTTATTTTGAGACTCTTATTTTAAATTATAAAGCTATTTTAAAATTCACTATTAGAATAATAGCCTATATCAAACTGATAAAAGTATTTTTATGTTTAAACATAATTATTATTGCATTTAATTTCTATATCGAGCAACCTCAGTGTAATGGTAAGGTGAGTTAATATTGTATAGAGCCAAAACCAACATTGTATAGCTTGTGTCCTAAGTGGGTCTTTGAACTATTATTTTGGGTGATTTGGTCAGAGCTGCTCTGAAATTGTGACCGTTGCAAATGTTTCCTTGGTACCTTCTAGAATCATCTATCTCCTTATCTCTTGTCCTTTTTCTCCTAATTTATTGGTGCTAACTCCATTCTAAGCATTTTAGTATTTGTGACTGATAAGAGGTCATTATAATTAGGATTTCATTAATTTTAATCTTTAAATCTTGCTTTTGGAAAACAGATAAATCTTCGTGTTTTCTTGATTTTAATAATTTATTGTTACATTTTAACCTCTCTGATATTGGGATTCAACTTACAACTGGCTTATTATGGTTTCGTTGGTAGCATTTTTTTTTTCTTTCCAAGTAGTATATAAAATAGTGATAAATGGTGAGTGGTATTTAAATTTGATGAAATGCAGTAACATTGTCCTAAGCAACTATTTGATAGCTAGCTAATGTGCAGAGTACTTTTTATATGTTATTTATTTAAACTCATATTAATTTCGTGACACCTCACAGGTAAGGAAAAACTATAGGTTAGAGAGTGCACATAGTTAAGTGATGAACAGGAATTATGTTGGTCTGCCTGACATTACAATTCCTGTGCTTTTTATTACAGTGTACTGTGTGATTCTTCTGTATGGGAGTCCTTAAGAGTTTCGTAGTAGAGTTGTAAGCAGAAGTGACTTGACATGTGGGGACGGGCCTTCTTCCTTTTCTGTGAGATAAATAGTGAAGATACATACTGTACCAGGACTTGAGTCCTAAGAGGCAAGGAGTTTCCTTAGAGAGGCCTGCTTGTACCACTACCATAGATTTGGCATATGCCATACTTTCAGATGGGATCTGCAGGTAGGCTTCTCCTCAGAAAAGATGTTTCTTCACTGCTCCTAAGAGATAAATATGATTTGGGCATTATACTCCTGAGTGATTGCCAGTTCCCACTCTAGACAAGATCACATCTGTATGTTTAGACTTGAGGCAACAGTTCTTAATACGAGTTCATCTTATCTCTGAATATGGTGAAAGTTATAGACTCTCTTCTCAATAAAATGCATATACATACCGAACTGTTAATAAATTTCAGTGCATTCATTAAACCTCCAAAGTCCATATGTGGACCTCTGTAATACCACATTTGCAGATGATCTCAATAACTTGTATAACATATACTTTATAGGACTTTATAGGCCACAGGAAGGTGTGTTTAAAGGAGTGAATAGTGAACTGGTATAAAACCTCACAAATCAACTGAAACTATTTAATATTGTTCCTTAGATTAAGATTTCATGTCAGAATGGAGTTCCCCTAGATCTTCCCACAACCAACTTTTTCTTGTTACTTAGAACTCAGATCAAATGTTCCCCACCTCAACAAGTCCTTTCTTAACCTCTCAGACTAAAGTAACCACCTAGTAACTAAAACATCATCCCTTTTTAAAAAAATAAAACTTGTCATACATTTTTGTGTTGATTTGTTTCTTTGGGCTAGAAAATGAGCTGTAGAGAGCAGTGACCTACCTACATTGCTGGTTAAGTGTTCCATAACCACGTCCAAAACAGAACCTGGCATATGAATGCTAATAAATATTTTGTCAAATGAATCAGTAATGAATGAAAATCTATTATGCTGGATACTATGGTAGATATCTTAAAGCAGTGGTTTAAGTTATTGTGCTAAATATTGTGCTGTTTATGAATGATTTATGGTTTTATAAATTGAATACCTCAGAAAATACATTTTGTAACTGCTCTTACAATTAAAAATAGTTTCAAGTGAACCACTTTATATAATGGAAAAATATACTGACTTTCTATAGGTTTCAATGGTTACTAAAAGTTTGAAACAAGACATTTAACATATGATTAAATTCTGGTATCATGTTGTATGTAGTACAACTAAGTAAGTAGTTTTTAACTCACATTTGTAAAAGTTTTAAAATATAATAAAAATGGCTAACTTTAATTTTCTAAAATTTATTGGAAAACAGGTTAGTAATTACAGAATTTGAATTTGTACAGTCCATTAACTTTATAAAACTCTAGCATATAATTGATTTGATTCACATGTCATTTTTGTGTTGCTATTGCTTAATGAGTCTGTTCTTATTTTTTTGTCTTCTTTCTTTTTAGAGATGATGGTAGTCTTTTTGATGGATTGGTGGAAGAAGATGACAAGGACAAAGCAAAAAGGTAGCTCAACTTAAGATGTAAAATAGTAAATAATTGAATAATAAGTAATAGTAAAAATAGTAAATCACTGATTTTCAAAAGTTCTGTGCCTTAAAACTTAGTGTTCAATAACTAGGTGGGAGAGATTGGAATGTCAGTATCCAGGTTATAAGTTAAATTATCCTCTAAATGTGCTCTTCTCATCAGATCATATTATGTCATCATCATATGATGACATATCACGTCATCATTGGGGATGTTAACCTTCATCACTTGGCTAAAATAGGGTTTGCCTGGATCCACCATTGTAGTTATTTTTGTCTTACTCAATTTTGCCTGAATGAAAGGCAGAACTCTAAGGAATTGACCTGGATGGTCTTAAGGGCCAAGTTTATAGATGGATAAAGTGAGCTACGGGTATTCTATTTGCAAAGACATGTATTTTAGTAAACCAAAACCACTGTTGTGATGGGAAACCCTGGAGAAAGAGAAGGAATCCTGTAATGATGCTGTCAGAATTAAATGGGGCCACACTGAACTTTTTGACTAAAAACAATGATGAGTTAAAGACCTTACTGTTGAACCCAGAAGAAAGGGAGTTCTATAGTTATTCCCCAAATGGAACATCTATAATCTGTTATCAGTCAGGTCATTCCAAGAACTAATTACTTCCAGCCTGAATGTACTGTGAAGTAAAAAGTTTACTTTAATGGGTGTGTCCCAGTAGTAGAGTTGGCAAGGATATTTGCTTTCTATATATTTTCTTGCCCTAGAATCAAAATGCCTGATTTGAATTATTACTTTGTGGTAGCTCTATGACCTTAGCCACATTTTTGTTTATGCCTGAGTTGTCACACCTATACAATGGAAAATAATGAAGCCTACCTCAAAGGAATTAAATGAGATTTCATAAATGTTTACTAGCACCTGGCACATAAATACACAACAAATACTGGCTGCTATCTTTACACCCCACCCATGTGTTCAGATATTCCATACATAGATACTTATCTCTTACTCTTTTCTAGAGGAATATAACTAGATCCAAATATCAAACTACCTCATATATGTAAAAGGCCATGTCACTATATCTAAATTCTACCTAACCTATCTGTCCACCAAAACATTATATTTTATATTTCACATTGATAAACAGCATTGTTAGTAACTTGGGATTCTGTAGATTTCCCCTTTTGCTTCTCCCCTCCCAACTGAATCTGATTTACCAAGAATTGGTACTTCTGCTTCTTAACCCTCACATTTATACTGCTCTGTTAACAGTGCTCATGCCGTGATTTATAGGTTAGGAAATTGCAGTTGCCTCCTAAGTGGTCATCTGAATGCCAGTCTTGTTTGGCATATGGTAGGTTTTTAATAGTATTCGCTAGAGGAATTTGTTTTGCCAAGCATTGATCCTTTCATCAGTCTGATGCCAGAATAGTCTTATTAACAAGCAGTTCTAGCCAATTCTAGCTTAAAACATTTCAGTGCCTCCTATAGTTTTCAGGATTAAACTCAAATTATTTTATATAGCATAAAACATCATGATTTTTTTCGGTGCTTTATACTCTGACCCCCCAACTCCAGTATACTTGTACACCCTACACTTGGGCCTGTGCGCTAGCCACATTAGGCATGCTGAACTGCTTGTGCAGGTTTTCATCTTCGTGCGGGTTTCCTATGCCTGGAATGCCCTGCGCGTAGCCCCACCACCATCTGTTTCACATAGTCTCCAGGACGCAGTTCAGCACAGTTGGATGCTATCCCTGGTTCCTCTGACTTTCCTTAGGAATTAGGTGAATTTTTAAATTTTTATTAAATTTGTTGGGGTAATGAAATTATGTAGGTTTCTAGCGTACAATTCTATAATACATAGTTTCCAAAGGAATTAGGTGAATTTCTTGGGAGGGATATTTTTCTCCAGTATCTCTAGCCCTTATTAGCATAGTCTCTGTCACTATAGCCAGCATTCACTGTTTGATGAGGGAGTCAGTTAATATCTATTATGTTTCTTAAAATTTTTGAACAATTGTATTTTTTTCCCCAGTACTAATGTAAAATAAATGCTAGTTCTTTATGGGAAAACAAACAAAATACATAAAATTGCCCTCTGCCATTTTGGGAAAGTAATACACTGAAACAAAAACTGAATTCTGAAGTCTGACTTCACAAAGCAGATAATTAGGGATATTATAAAATTGTAAATTAATTGTACTGTATTATACTTGTCTCAGGAGGTCTCTGTGCAACTAAGTATTTGTTTACTGGTTACTGTTTTACATAGAATATTAGTAATTATTCATTTAGCACATGTATTTTGAATGTTTCCTGTCTGTTAGATGTTATGCTTAAGTGCTTGTAGATCAGGGGTGTCAAACTCATTTTCATGTTGGGGGGCACATCAGCCTCGCAGTCACCTTCAAAGGGCCGAATGTAATTTTAGGACTGTAAATTTAGGACTGTATTCTTTTAACAGTTAAGGGAGAGCTCCGTGCTGCCGCCAGGTAGCAACAAGGTGCAGGGCCAGATAAAACAAGGTGGAGGGCCAGATTTGGCCCATGAGCCTTGTATTTGCCACCTGTGGCTTAGAGAAAAAAATTGGGGCTCTTTTATTAATGAGCCCATGGCCTAATGGAGAGACAGATATGCAAACAAATGATTACAGCTCTATGTTGGAACCTGGGCTATAGGAGTAAAGAGGAAGAATATATGGGTAAGCCTCGGCGTAGGAAGATTTTTCTTTCTAGATTTGCTTGTGATACAAAACTTGCAGGTGATGGATCACTTTTTTTCTCTTTAATAATTTGCATTTATACATTATATATATTTTCACTAAATGTATGTCGGTAATATTTATGATAACCTTATAAGGAAAATCAAATTTTTGGTAAATATTAGAGTAAATAAAACCTAAGATGTGAATGTAGTTTGTCTTACTGACATTTTCATAAAAACATATATGCGGAATGTTTAATACATAAGAGTTTCTTTAGTGATAAAATGTATTGCCCATGTTTATTGTATATTGTTGGTAAATTAGGAGATATTTATTACCATCAACATTAACAGAAGAACATCTTGTGTGGTTGTGTCCAAATTGAGCATTATGTTATACTATTTGTGTAACTAAATGGATTGTTCGAAAACTACTTATTTAATTTTTTAATTTTATCAGAGTATCTAGAAACAAATCTGAAAAGAAACGCAGAGATCAATTTAATGTTCTCATCAAAGAATTGGGATCCATGCTTCCTGGTAATGCTAGAAAGATGGACAAATCTACTGTTCTGCAGAAGAGCATTGATTTTTTACGAAAACATAAAGGTAAATTGTTAACTTAAATGGATTTTTTTTTTAAAACAACAGACTTCCCTTAAAGCATAATGTGATAGAATCTTGACAGTGATGCTTAAGGTTGGATGCTTTGCGACATTTTTTTTAAGAGAAAGAAATCGGTTGCTTTTTAAAGATTTTCTGGTATGTTTTTTCTTTTATTCAACAAACATTTATTTAGTGCCTAGTATATTATATCCTAAATTCTCACGGTACAGGGTAGCAACAGTCCTGGCCCTCAAGTAACTCAAGCCAGGGAGACAAACATCTAAACAGCTGGTTACAGTAAAAATAATTACAAAGGGTAGAGTGCTTGTGAACCTTAAACTTGTTAGGAAAACACAGAGGAAAGAATGTGTCAGGGAAGGCTTAAAAACAGTTAATTTTTTCAACTGAGTTTTCCTTTAACATTAAGTAAGGAAAACAGCATTTCGTACAGAGGAAATAGCAGGTGCAAAAGCAGAGAAGCAGGAAAAGGTCGGTGCAACTGGAATATAGTTTGAGTTGGAAAGCTACTGGCATATTTGAAAGAAAGGCAATGCCAGATTGTAAGGGCCTTATATGTCATTTTAAAAGATCATTTGTTTCAGTGTGTGTCTAGGAACTTATCACTGTGTTAAAATAAAGTGATTATTTCTTAATCAGAGAAAATCACTTTGACTACATAAATCATCAAAGGAAAGTTTAAAGAGTATTAAGTATTTTTGCTAACAGATAATTCTTGAAAAAATTGTAAAAGGACATTTCCTTTTTCAGTTATAAATGGAACTGCAAAACCCTGGAGAATTTGTAATTAAAGGCTTTATTTACTTCTCCCTGGCTCACTCAATAATGTTATTCACCTGATTCATGCTCCACCACTCTTGAAAATTATTTTCGTTAATTTCACTAATGCCATTCCTCCCCACCTTCTGTGCTGCCAGTAAAACAATAGCTTTTTCTCATACCTCACTTTCTGAAGCACTGGGAATTTTAATCCATCCTCTACTGGCTTTCCTTCCCCTTGGCCTGTGTTATACTGTACTTCTTCATTCATCTCCCTCTTCCTAACTAATATTAACTTCATTGTTCCTCTGTCTTTTTCTGCTCTCTACATGTGACATTTCTCAAAGTATTATCTTTTCTCTTGCTTTCTCTGCACTCTTTCCCTTGGTTATCTCATTCCACAGCTTCAGCTATTGTCTCTCTGTTAAACTACTAAGTCTGTACTTTAGATGCAAAGTTTTCGGCCTTGCTATTTCTAGATAACTTTTGCCTCTTTATTTTGCATGTCTCCAAACTCAACTCACCTAAAACTGAATTCATTTTTGGTTTTGTCAGGTTACCCCTTTCTCTCACCTTTTCTTTTTCTGTCTTCGCACCACATTCTTTCACTCCCCTACTACTCAAACCTGAAACGATCTGCATTTTTTTCAGCTTCTCTGTTCCTGTGTCACAGTTACCAAATTCTCTTAATTCTTCTGAAAATATATGGAAATTGTCTTCATTTTTATTGCCACCATTGTCCTTACATTTTACTGTATAGATAGTGTTCTTTCTACTTTAGTGTCCCTTATTAGGCAACATACTCAGCCCTTTAGATGCTGTGGTTCAATAAATGATTGTTGAATGAAATAAAATAATATGCATTTCCCCCTGACAGTAGAGGATTAATTTTGGCGGTAAACAGACCAGGGTTTTCTTTTCCCCCCCAAAAATTGGCTATAAAATTCTCACAAAAATAAAATTTACCTGAAACTGGAAGGGAATTCTTACATAATTATTACTATAAAATAAACCTGTGCTCAACTAAACTTGATGGGATTTGCTTGTGGATTTAACATTTTTCTGAATGTTTATAATTAATGTGAATTTGACAAAGTATTGAGTATATTCCACAGAATTTGTAGCTAGACTTTTTAGCTATTCTTCATATTCTAGTACAGTCATTTTTAATATGGCAGATTTTGAGCAATAGTTTAATCTGCTATATTTATATATCTGGTTATAGAAAAGTCTGAACAATGTAGTTCATACTTTTCACTGAAATGTAGTATATATTTTGTAGGGTAAAATTCATGACATAGATTTTTATTTTGCCTGTTGTTTTTTAATTTGTCTGCATTTAAAAATGGAAACCATTTGTTCCTGAAATAGTTCATGCTTTCATCATTTATGAATAGGTTTGTCATAGCTAAGTCCATTAATAACTAGTACGTTGCAAAATAAACTAGTAATGTTGTTAAAATATTGTCCCAATCTAGGGATCTCCAAATTTTTGACCAGCTTCTTACCATTGACAAAACATGCAAAGAGATACTAAGTGAAATTATTCTGAGATTATTATTATGAATTTTTTGCCCCAAATCTTAATTTAAAGTCTTCTTGATTAATTAAGACTAGAAGGCCTCACTGGGAGGAATCTTTCTGCCTGGCAGGAGGCAGGCTGAAAGTCCTCTTTATTAAAAGCAAACTTATCTCCTTGGCTTTTTTTTTTTTACAGGCTCATGTCCTTGTATCTGCCCTAGGTGGTACCATTTAAATGGCAAGGAAAGGAAGAGGAAAAAGAATATATTACTAATGCTTGATCTGTCTGCTTATTCTGGATCTTCTTTGGTCCTTATGTCAAGCAGGAAGCAGGCTTAGGCCTTTCAGCAACACAGGCTGTCACAGCTTCCCAGAGAAAAACCAGAGACTAGTATTCCCTGGAGACCAAATCTAAAGAGATAACTTGCCATACTAGTTCAGATATTTCATAGTACCAAAACTTTGACCTCCTGATACCTACCTAGAGCAATAAATGTTATTGCCTGTGATTCTCATCTTAAATCAGAGTGGGGAGAGAGAAGGGAACTTGCAGGACTTTTGTACTGCCACAGCCACCTACCCCATAGTTGGAGTATGCCACTAATGTGTTAATAATCTGTTTACAGAAATCACTGCACAGTCAGATGCTAGTGAAATTCGACAGGACTGGAAACCTACATTCCTTAGTAATGAAGAGTTTACACAATTAATGTTAGAGGTATGTCTAGATTTAATTTTTGAAAAGTTTTATTTTCCTAAAAAAATTAATCACAAGGGTAACTAATTTTAATGTAGTTTTAACAATATTAATTTATTTAATGTTGAAAAGTTTTAATTCAATGTAAATTAGTAAGCTGTATCTTAAAATTAATCAATGCAAGCATTATAAGCAAATAGTACTACCTGATGAACTAATGCCAAATTTTTACATTTTCATTATTATCTGAATTTTTGAGAAGCTTAATAAAAGTCAGAAAACTATAGCTACCAAATTCTCGACCTGAGGCCACATTATCAACATTCAAATGAAGAATAATACATGTTATTCATCACACACTAAATGTTATAAAATGCATCGCACTTGATAGTACTTTTTTAACAAATTAAAATTTACCTAAAAACAATGTATAAAATGATAATAAATGAGGTATTTTGAAAATGGAAGACAAATTAAATATACCTTAAAAGGCAACTCTTAGAGAAACATCAATTTTTTGTTCCACTTATATTTATGCATTCATTGGTTGATTTTTATATGTGCCCTGACTGGGGATTAAACCTGCAACTTCAAAAGGCAACTCTTAATTCAAGAAGAAACTTTTAAAAAGAAATAAGTAAATGTTCTTATGTGACAAATTTGTTTTTGAAAACAATTCAGAGTATATTTGCTTGTAATTGCAAAACTTCATACACTAATTATAAAATCTAGAAAGGTTTTGAGTCACTCATACCAATTAGTCTTACTTTTCTACTTTTTAATTGTTTCCTGTGTGTAGGTCAATATAGGTAACACCCACACACACAAAGTACACAGAGTTCAGTGTCTAATTTCCATGAAAACTTATAATAAATAGGAAACAAGGTTAGTATATTTTGGCAGTAATGGTTAAGGACAAGAAAAATAGATATATACCAAAACATAGAGGAAAGCAATTGAGGTGGGGTTGCAGATGTTAAATAATTTACATCTTTTGTCCTGCTGGTTTGGGTCTGTTCTATACTATAAGCATTTATCTGTGTCAGATATGCATAGGGAGGGGCAAAAGTAGGTTTACAATTATGAATATGTGAAACAGTGTATTTTTGTATTATTATTTATTAATTATTTTCTATACGAACAACTGTAAACCTACTTTTGTCTGATCCTGTATATGTAATGGCTGTGTCTCAAGTGTCTTTGTATAGTAACTAAAGTCTGAAGCAACCTAGAGTATTTTGCAAATTGAGTTATTTGTTTTCTGTTCATACTTTGGATGGAACGGTTAATTGATAAATTGAGTCTACATATATTCAGCAGAAATGTTAACATGATAATTTGTTGGAATATAAATATATTGCATATATTTCAGCCCATACTTAAAATCTGCAATATATCTGATCACTTTTCACATGTAAACTCAGTGAATCCTCACAATAATCTTACGAAGTAGACCTATTAGTATCCCATTCTTACTGCCAAATGAGGAAATTGGAGAACAAAGAGAGTATGAAACTTGTCCAAAGTAGTATTTAGTAAGTAGGTCAGTGGGGACTTTTTGCAGTAGACTAGCCTCTCTGATCCCATGGTCTCAGCCCCCGTGAAACTTCTTTTCAGTGAAAGCTCGCCATGGCACGGAACTTGTAGCATAGTAACCTGCAATTAGCTCTTTAAATTAGTGAGTTATAAACCAAACAATACTTTCAGATTTTGTTAAATATTTTTTCTAAAAAGTAGTTTGACATTGTCCAAAATTATGTGTTTAGGTAATAAGTAGTGTGTTTATGAACGAGTGCACACAGCTAATGTCTACAACAAAGGAAATAAATAACTCAATTACTCAAATTTTATGATTATGTTTTCAGTATAGTTGTTTATTAAGATATATGGTAATCATTAACTACTTATCCTGCTTCATTATAAAAAATTTCTTATAATTCATAAAGTTGCATACTATCTACATTAACATTAATGAAGGTAAGTTACCAGTTTACTAATAAGCTAAACAGAAAAGCATTGTATTTAATTTTGTTTACAATGGTCAGATCTTTATTAATGTTAAAACACATGTAGTACATATTTAGTATTTAGAAAAAACAATTTTTACAAAATACAACAGAAAATTTAAACATATTTAAATTAGTTGTCTCATAATTTTTCTCACAGATTTTAGTATTGTATTCCTGAGAAGTGTTAATTATTTATTTTTAATATGTCAAGCATACTTTTGATTTTTAGTGAGCATTTCTATTTATTAAGTAAATATGTATTCTAACATTAATATGCTAGGATTAAAGACTGTACATAAATATATATATATATGTTGTAATGTGGGTCCAACTAACCTAGATGTGTTACTGTTGGCTAGTCACATGTATCAGATTATAGATAGACAATGTAGAGAACCATTTTCAGCAGAATTTCAGATGTAGGCTGTATTTTGATCTTGGAATGTTAGAGCTACTAGTAGAAGATAGATTATTCACCGTAACCTCTTCATTTTATGGATGAGGCTTAGAGAATCTGCAGCTAGTCCAGGGTCAGATAGCTAGTTTAATGGAAGAACTGGGACTGAGATCTTAAAATTCACTTATAACTTATGTGTTGGTTGTTTCTTCCTCCATTTCTCCATTGCTATCTGTCTCTCCCTCTCTTTACTCTGTTGCAAGGAATAGTCTTTGCAGTCCTTAGGAAGGAGGTAAAGAGTAGTCAGGGAAATCAGGGCAATTTAGCTTGACCTCTGTAAAAGTCATCTTTATGTGAAGTCATCTCTTAGTGTGTTGTTCTTTCCCTTGGAAGCTGGCAGGTCTCTCTGGTCATGCACCAGTGAAGGGCTAGTGCCCTGTCAACTTCATTTTAGCTATAGATCCACAAGAAGTTTCTGTCCCCTTCCTGGGACTTCCGTTTCGGTCTTCCCCAGATTAAACATTCACTAACAGAGAAGGTTTACATAGTCCTTTTATTGTGGGTCACGTAGATATCAAATAGGAAGATAAGTTTGAACTAAGCCTTTACTTTATATCATACAGTGTGGAAGAGGGATAAGCTTCCCAGTCTTCAGTCTGGGAGTGAGGATGTCCTTGTCTGGCTTGCTTCCTCTTCCATGTCTCTCAGATCTTCCTTTTCAAGGCCATCCGTCTTCAGGGCCCCTTTAGTTTTTCGTGTATCCACCTACTTGCTTGGGAAATGACATCCCTCCACTCAAAAGAAGTTTGGGCCCTGGTTCCATCTTTGTCTTAAGAATTTAGCAACCTACTGGTGAAGACTTTGCTGAATCTTTGCCTGCTTTGAAATAGGAAAGGGCAGGCTGAGTCCTAGGAGTTGGGAGTAAGTCATTAAGAGTTCTGATTTCAATTCGTTCTCTTTACCCAAGAGGGCTGGCACCCTGATTTTTAGCATATATCCTAAGAGCAAATACAGATCATCATAGTAAATACCAATTTGCTGTCAAAGATGATATAATGTAGCTTTAAATGAGAAAAGCTAGTTCTTAATGATATAATTTTGACCCTTTTCCTTATTAAATTATAACTGACATGATTATACTAAGTTGTTTTTATAAAAATAATTTCATAGATTTGCATAAATTACAAGGTTTTTTATCCCCAACTTCTACATTAGCTAAGAATGGGTTTGTCTGAACCATTTTAGAAGGTAGTCATCGACTCAGAATAAGTTCTTTGTAATATCTAAATCTCTTCCCCAATAGAAAGGGAGATGGGGCTGTGTTTTTCCATACATTAAACGTATATTTCACCAATTACTTAGAAATGGAGGTTGCTTTAACTCTCAGCCCCATAAATTACATACAGGTATTTTTTATCTCCTGTGTGCTACACATATGCTAGATGCTACAGATACAATGTTCAAGAGGATAAATCTGGTTCTTACTAGAGGTTGCTGCCCTATGAGAGAGCCCTGTAATTAAATAAGAAATCCAAGTATAGTATGATAACTGTTTTGATAGAAGAGGAACTCCTCTTGCTATCTTTTCTGCTGTATGTCTTCAGAATCTTCCCAACTGGGTTTTCCTTTCCCACAGCCTACAAATATATTTAAGTTACCTTTTTTTAAAAATGATTTTCCCTTGATATTTAGTTTCCTTAAAATTTTCATCTCTCCTTTCTTCCCTTCTAAAGTTCTTGATAGAGTGGTTTATAAATGCCCTCTGATCATCTACTCATCTCTAAATTCATTGTAATCTAATTTTCCTGTTGACATATCTTTTGAAAGTCACCAAATTCATTTCTCATTTTCTCATTTCTTATCCTATTGGATCTTATTTTACACTGAACCAAACCTCTTTCTCCTCATTCCCATTATCACATCCTCTTATTGTGACTTCCTCTGCGACAGTGTATTCTGTCTTCTTTGTCATTTTCTCTGGTACTTGTCCTCCTCATCCCCACATGTAGATAGTTCCAAGAAGAATTTGTCTGGCATGCAGATCTGCAGGTCTTACTTCTTCAGCTGTCACTTTTGTGCCTAAGATTCTCAAATGAAAAGGAATTACAATATATAAAGTACAGAATCGCTTTATTATTAAGTATTGTATCCCCTGCACTGGCTTCTCTGCTGAACTGTAACTTCACATTTGTTAGTGTTTGCCCAAGTCCTTTCTTCTCTATTCTTAACACTCCTAATTTCATTCAGATGCTCATTAACTTCCAATTATTCCAAAAGCCACTGAGATTTTCCTAACTTCTTTTTTTTCTGCTAAGTTCATTTTGCACTCTACTTCTAGACTAGTCTTGAACAAAGTCCTTATATCTTAACCTGGCACTCCAAGGTTTTTCATGATCTGACCTCAGCCTACTTTTTCCATTTTTCCTAGCTGGATTCCATTTCACTTTATTCCTCACTTATTTCCCTATGGTTCAATCATACACTCTCTGTTGATATATACAAAAGGTGATAAGGTGTTTTTTTTCTGTGTGTCCCAAAGACATATTATTGATGATGTGTGTGCATCAGAGATATTAGCATCTTCATATAATATCTGAATGATAAAGGTAGAACACTAAGCCTATCTTTTAGAAACCAACTGTTCAATTGATGGCCATAGAGTGGTTTTTTCTTCCAAAAACATTTTCAAATGCACAAAGATATATACTATACTATGGAATTGTAAAGGGGAAAAGCTAGCATTTTGATAATGCTCTGGAAATTTCCACATTACATTTTTTGTTATTTAGTAAGTTAGATTTTTATTTCTGTGCTATGAAACATTTTTCTTTCATTTAACTGACCATTATGTTTAATTTCAGGCTCTTGATGGTTTTTTTTTAGCAATCATGACAGATGGAAGCATAATATATGTGTCTGAGAGTGTAACTTCATTACTTGAACATTTACCAGTAAGTATAAAAATCCCGTGATCTTTTTCTTAGTTGATGCCTATTATAAACGTTGTAAAGCACTAGGAAATGGACCTCCAGAACAGTGTTGGACAATAAGCAGAGGGAAGAGAAGAGCTCAGAATATGTCCTTGTTTTGACATGGCTGTGATTTCTCAGTTCAGTCATGAGTCTGTAATCTGTAGTAATTATTCAACAATGGTTTTATCTAACCTCTGTTCGTCCTGCCCTCTCTTTTCTAATGCAGAGTTTTGAGTGTTTTCTTGTTAGTTAGGCTGGTGAAGATGTTGCTAAATCACTGAGAATATCTTGGGAATAACTAAATTTCTACTGATGTACTTGTTGCAGCTTGAGGAACTCAAAATTTTTTATAAAAAAATGACCCAGAAGAACACACTAAAAATAATAGGTACAGAACTTGTGTGCTATGTGGCTTGAATTGATAATGCTATAATGGCCATATTCAGTTTGTTATTGATATGACCTTAAAGGTACAAAATTAGAAACTAATTTAATTGTGTAATTTTGATAAAGAAGGCGAATATTAGAATTACGTGTTTGTTGTTTTGCTCAACATGTATTTATTGGACATCACCTCTCTGCTAGACACTGTTGGGTGTTCTGATGCAGTTGATGGTTTTCATGAATGTGAAGTTTTTACTTTATATGGGATGTTCTTATCTAAGATAGGACTTGTGGTATAAATATTCTAAAGTTACTTATAAATTATACTTAGAGTGTCTGTCTCTTGAAAATTTATAACAATACAAAATACCTGTTTTGTAAAGGTCTCTTTCAAGTGATTTTGAAAAGTACTATCTTCCTCCCTCTTATCACTTTGCCACTTCATAATTCATATAGAGAATGGATGCTGTACTTAAAAGACCAGATTCTAAAAGGATAAGTTTTTTATGGAAAGCCAGGCAGTAAGGAATCTGTTGATTTCTTTGGCTCACACAGAAAATGACTCGGCTTTTACTGCTTCTCTAGGGGCTTCTTTAACAGGAAACTCAAATAGAAGGCGATTAGCCCGGCATCTAAAACTTGAGAGTAAACAGTAATATTATAGACTATGTAGGTAAGCTAGTATGGGCAGAGAAAAGGACAGATTGACTGAGTATTCTGAGCAATTCTTTTAAAAAAATTATATAGTGAAAAAAAGGAAAAGAAACCCATTGTAGGATTAATATGATTAAAATAAGATTAAGTAATTTAAAGGTATAATTATATGCCTTTTCACCATATATAATTGTGTAGATTTTCTTTTCATTATGTATTTATAGAACCTATATAATATCTTTAATTGTTTTTTTAAATTTAGTCATAATCAGAGCATCATTTATAGGTCACACTGTAAAAGCCTGCTTCTTAGGCACTTTCCTTGAACTTCATTCAGAATTAGATGTCTTTCCCCTTTGTTCCTATATTACTTTATACACACTGCCATCATAACACAGTGAATTGTAATTTTCTGTTTATTAGGATAAATTTGGTAGGTGTATGCTTCTTAAATGCAGGGATTTTATCTCTGTATCTACATGGACTAGGTAGTTTCTCAGGGAGGCATTCGATAATTTTTTGTTGAATGTATAAAAATGAGTAGGCTATTTGATGTGGCTGCTTTAAACAAATTCCCTTCTAATGGCACACAGGTGTTGAATCTTTGGTGAGGTAGAGTTTAACTGATTTTCGCTATAGATAACACACGAGAGATGTAGTTGGCATCTAAGCATTTGACCATTAACATTCCCCCACTCAACGAAAACCCTCTTCACCTTTGCATTTCTTCCTGGATTAAAAAAAAACTTTTTAGAATTGTTTTTAGATTACAGAAAAATTAAGAAAATAGTACAGAGAGTTCCCATGTGACCCGCACCCAGTTTCCTCTGTTACTAACATTACCTGGATCTTTTTAATTGTTTCTATTAGCCACAGCATAAAGACTGGAAGATGAATTTTGGGGCAGAGGAGATTGCTGCTGCTGCTGCTGCTCCTGTAGAGCCATTTCACTCCATATGAAGTTAATAGTATTCATTATTGATAGTTTTTTCTGCTCACCAGTTACTGTGGATACTTTCTTTCACATCACTGACCTTGCTGAACTGTATATTACTTGATGGTTTAAAAATGTAAACACAGTGGTTTTGGGGGGGGCGGATAGAAAACAAGTGCTTTTTGAGAAGAATATTTAGGATCAAATGTAAGGGAAAAACATGTGATTTTCTCTTTGGGGATTGTCAATAATTAAACTTTAGTGGATGCTCAACAAAGGCTTTAAAACAACACTGTCCCTTTCTTTGTGTTTTAGTATATACACGTATTGTTTAAAATAAAATTTTGATTGTTGCAAGAAGGGACAAAATATTAGCAAATCCCTAAGTTAGGCTTTAGTGTTTATAATTCAGTTTTGTTGAGAAATTAAAACTTGCCATCTTAATCAGTGGTCAATAGGACTTCAAATTATAATTTAAACTAAATCTGATTATAACATTGCGAGACTGATTCTGTAAGTCCTGCAAAATAAAATGGCTTATTCATTTTGTGATTGGAAAGGAAACTTACATATTTTTTCTCCTGATCTGGCTTTGTATGACTAAGTCATGCTGTCTTAGTGTCTAAAATGATTTTAGACATCCTTAGCCTAGCCCCTGTATGTTTTCAGCAAGAAACATGAAACCTAGAGAAACTGGAGTTAACTGTGCAACACTTTCGTGGAACTTTCAAGGCACAAAGTCGGTGTCTTACTTATATTGCAAGCTTAATATTTGTAAAATTTTATAGGTAAAGATTGATTTCCTCGCGCTTGCGTAAGTATATTAGAAAGAATGTATTAAATTTGTAACCAAGTAATATAGGGAAGATGATGAACCACATTATGTTCTAAAAGGGCCACTATTAAGATACTGCGTGAGCCTTTTCTACTCCTCTTGATAGTTTAGAAATATAAACACAAATGTCTTTTAAGAAAGTCAGTGCAATCTTTATCTGAAGTATGTAGAAATACAGTATAGAATTTTTTGAATATATAATAATTATGAAAGCTTATTTGATATTGGCCAGAATGTTTCACATTTGTACATAAAAATGCAGTTGTTTAAAAACATGTTATGTTCAACATACCCTTAACTTTTTTTCTGAGGAGTTTCCAGTCCTTTCTAAGCAGCAGCTCTGTACAGCTTTTAACAGTTAGTGGTCTGTCTACCTGAGGGAAAAGATAATTAGTAACAGTTCATAATTTCCATAAAACAATCATATTAACCAAATGTAGGAAAAACAGGCTATTGATTTATGTTATATAACTAAGTCAGCAGGAGTTACATTTCTTGAAGAAAATGATTGAAGGAGATAAAAGGATCAAGGTAGTTGGCTTTTTTTCTTTCCTTTGAATTGTATTTTGGGGCAATATCAAGAATAATTAGCTTCATTTAGAGATTTAATTTTATTTTATTTTTCATTTAGATATTTTAATGTAATGGTTAATGGAAAATTTGACACATTAGTTAATTAATTAGTTGCCTGCTAACTCTGATACTTCAGACAATAAAGCAGGGGTGTCAAACTCATTTTCACCAGGGGCACATCAATCTCCTGGGTGCCTTCAGAGAGCTGAATGTAATTTCAGCTCCTTAACAGTTAAGGAGTAGTTACATTTATACAGTCCTAAAATTATTTCCGCCCTTTGAAGGCAACTGCAAGGCTGATTTGGCCCCCTGGTGAAAAAGAGCTTGACACCCCTGCAATAAAGGTTTTCAGGGGACGTAGAATGGTGGGAAAGCAGTGCCAGTGATCCTACCACTCTGTACTAACCATTCATATTGTTGGGTTTTTTTTTACTTTTTAAATATATTTTATTGATTATGCTATTATAGTTGTCCCATTTTTTCTCCCTTTTATTCCCCTCTGCCCTGTACCCCCTCCCATCAGCATTCCTTCACCTTAGCTCATGTCCGTGGGTCATACACATAAGTTCTTTGGTTTCTCCATTTCCCATACTATTCTTAGCTTCCCCTGTCTATTCTGTACCTACCATTTATGCTTCCTATTCCCTGTACCTTTTCCCCCCAATTTCTCCCTCCCCTTCCCCATCAATAATCCTCCATGTTATCTCCAGTTCTGTGAATTTGTTCCTCTTCAAGTTGTTTGCTTAGTTTGTTTTTGTTTTTTTAGGCTCAGTTGTTGATAGTTGTGTTGTCATTTTACTGTTCATAATTTTGATCTTTTTCTTAGATAAGTCCCTTCAATGTTTCATATAATAAGGACTTGGTGATGATGAACTCCTTTATCTTGACCTTATCTGGAAGCACTTTATCTGCCCCTTCCATTGTAAATGATAGCTCTGCTGGGTAGAGCAATCTTGGATATAGGTCCTTGCCTTTCATAACTTTGAATACTTCTTTCCAGCCTCTTGCCTGCAAAGTTTCTTTTGAGAAATCAGTTGATAGTCTTATGGGAACTCCTTTGTGAGTAACTGTCTCCTTTTCTCTTGCTGCTTTTAAGATTCTTCCCTTATCTTTAATATTGTCTGATGTAATTATGGTGTGCCTTGGCGTGTTCCTTCTTGGGTCCAACTTCTTTGGGACTCTGAACTTCCTGGACTTCCTGGAAGTCTGTTTCCTTTGCCATATAAGGGAAGTTCTCCTTCATCATTTTTTCAAAAAAGTTTTCAATTTTTTGCTCTTGTTTTTTTCTTTCTGGCACACCTATGATTTGGATGTTGGAACATTTAAAGTTGTCTCAGAGGTTCCTAAATCTCTCTCCATTTTTTTTGAATTCTTATTTCTCTATTCTGTTCTGGTTGAATATTTATTTCTTCCTTCTGGTGCAAACTGTTGATTTGAGCCCTGGTTTTCCCATCACTGTTGGTTCCTGTACATTTTCCTTTATTTCACTTTCTATAGCCTCCACTTTTCTCTCCATTTTGTGACCATACTGAACCATTTCTGTAAGCATCCTGATTACCAGTGTTTTGAGCTCTGCATCTCATAGGTTGGCTAGCTCTTCATTGTTTAGTTATATTTTTTCTGGAGCTTTGATCTGTTCTTTCATTTGGATGGTATTTTTTTTTATCTTGGTGTGCCTATTATATAGTAAGGGGCAGAGGCTTAGGTATTTACCAGGGCAGGGCAACCACTGCCCTTTGTAGTGGCGCTGTATGTCAGGGAGGGGTCTGAGAGGGAACAGTGCTGCTTGCTACGTGCTTGGCTGGCTTTCAGTCCCTTCTTCTGCTACTCACAAGCAAATTGGACCCTTCTGGTGCTGATTCCCCGAGTGGGTGGGTTTGTGTACATTCTAGGGCCTTGTGGGTGTCTCCAACTAACTCTCCTGGGAGGTTGGGAGTTTCTCCCGCTGCTGCAACCCCCGAAGGTTTTTTCATTCAGAGGTTTTGAGGCTTTTTTCCCCTGCACTGGAACTCTGGGTTGTGTGGTCTGTCTCACTCCCCAGTTATTCCTCCCGGTTTATCTGCATGCAAATATGGTATTGTCTGGTCTGCCAGCTGCCACCTCGCTCACCCCAGTCCTCCGGCGGTCACCTTGCCATGAATCCTCTCCACCCCGGCTGCCCATCTCCACCCCTCCTACCAGCCCCTGGATGACTGTTTCTTCTTGAGTCTTTGGTTGTTGGACTTCCATACAGTTCGATTTTCTGGCAGTTCTGATTATTTTTGTTTTTATATTTGTTGTTGTCCTTCTTTTGGTTGTGTGAGGAGGCAAAGGGTATCTACTTATGCCTCCATCTTGGCCAAAAGTCTCCATACTCTTTTTTCTATGAATATGAAACACAGATTTAAAGCTGGAAAAGCAAGGGTAACATAAGTAAATTTATAATTTACCGAAGTTGTAAAAGTAAATGTCAGTGAGAATAAATAATAGAAAACTATAATCATTCAAAATAAAAGTTTTGATTATTTTTTGTTGTAATTTTTAATGTACATTAATATCATATGCCTCTATTTTATTTTGTCAATAAAAGGCAGATTTCCATCAGTTTTGTTACAAATGCCTGAATTTTCAGTGTATAAGTTCTAGAGGCTTTTCAGGCTTTGAGAAAAAATATTCTTGTTAAAAACAGGTGTATTTTTAGTTTGGTTTCTCCAGTAAGCCTTCACCAAATAACTCCTTAATCTAAAGTCATTTATGATACTAATAACTGTTATATGCAGTGCACAGCATTAATGTGCCTTGGCTTGAAGGGAGGGAGATAAAGATATATAAGATAGGTCCTTTAATTTACCCATGGGCACTAGAATATAGATATTAAAATACATTTGACAGATATCTTTATTGGGAAATGAAAGATAGAAGTAATAACTACTGAAGGAATTTTATTATTTTTTTATGTAGATTATGGTGTTAAGGATATTTTTTGAAGGAAATAATTTTAACTGGATCTTTGAAAGTTGGAGGACACAAATATGTGGAGAAAAAGGGGAAGGCTGTTCAGTTTCATGGGGTAGACTGAGGGCTGGAGAAAAGAAGTGTCATATATGGCTTGTAGGGAAAAACTTTTCCCACTTCCTTCATACCCCTCCCAGTGGCTCTCTTGTTGTTGTCTGAGGGTTTTTTTTAAAGCTATGAAGCTGTTTCTTCAAAGAAATCTTTACAGTGTTTAAAATACAAACAAAATAAAACTGGAGTTGCTTTTGTGAATGCAAGAGGAAAGACCCTTAGCCCTGCCTTCACAGCTCCTTTTCACTGCCCCTGCCTTCCCCCTGCACCTCCCCCCCTCCCTCGTACCGCCACACACAGTCCTTGAGGTGCCGTTTCAGTATCACCAGGATTCCACAGAGCAGTTTGAAAATTTAGAAAAACCAAATAGAATACACTGGATTTGGTAGTAAATGTGAGGTCACTGATTTGTTTTGTTGTCAGTGGTTCTTAGGAGAGGAACTGTCATACTGATCTTTGATTTTGATTCCACAGCCATGGCATATTGTAGGCACCCTGTTTGTCAAATTACAGTTGATTAATGAATCATAACTAAAGCCATATTGGAGCAATGATTATGTTTGACATATTGCTTGCATTTTGGGGGAAGGGTAGCTAAGGGCAGGGCTTTTTAACAGTGGGATACAAGATAAATGACTGGACACAATGAAATAAAAAAGAAAGGACACTTTGGACAATTAAAATGACACCAAAGTCAAATCTCCTCTTTGCTTAGTGTGTGGCTAGTCCTTTGGTCCATTGCTGTAGTATATACCACCATAAAGTACCAGAGATGTGGATATTTGGTAGGGCTATGTCTTATAGCCAAAGATTTTTCTAATCAACCTTCTTAGTCCTGTTACATTTTAAAGATTCAAATCTGGTGAAGCCCGCCTCTGAGTATCATTTATCAGACTTTCCCGGTCATGTTAATCAGGGACGTGATGACACTAGTTAGTGTCAGAGGCACGGAGGTCATGTTAACTGTCTTTTGCTTTCCCTTGTTTTTAGAGTTGTGTTCTGTAACTCCGTGTTTGTCCGTTTTCACAAATAATCAGAAGTTAATTGCATATTTACCTGATGTTTTAAGAGTGATATACTTTTGAAATGTATGTCTCTTGAATCGTTAAAGTTATTTTCTTGGATTTCTTTTTTCAGTCTGATCTTGTGGATCAAAGTATATTTAATTTTATCCCAGAGGGCGAACATTCAGAGGTTTATAAAATACTCTCTACTCATCTGCTGGAAAGTGACTCATTAACCCCAGAATATTTAAAATGTAAGTAGCAGCTGTTATGCCAAAAGCTAAATATATTTGGTTATGTTATATTTTATGACTATGTGATACTATGTTATACTGGTTATGATTTTGTGACAAACAGACATGTTTAATTAATTAACACATAGCATCATTCCATATACCTTATTAGATTGTTTTAAAACTTTAAAAATGTATAATACGGAATTATTACTGTATTTTAAAATCTATTCTAGAGTATATTGAAATCCCATCTCTTTTTTAATACTAGTTAGGCCCTAAAATTGTATTTGACACAAAAATGGAACTATGCAATATATTTTATTAATTTTTAAATAAAATATTTTATGTAATGAGAGAAAAATTAAACATGGGTCTCATTTTCACTATAATCAACCAGTAGGACACTGAAACTGGGGGAAAAAAGACCCTCTGTATTTTAACAGTGATTTTTTAAAGATTTTATTGATTTATTTTTAGAGAAAGGGGAGGGAGCGAGAGAAACATCGACTGGTCGCCTCTTGCATGCCCCCAACCAGGGACCTGGCTCACAACCCAGGAATGTGCCCTGACTGCAAACCAGACCAACGACCGTTCATAGGCCGATGCTCAGTCTAGTGAGCCAGACCAGCCAGGGCTAGAATTATTAAATAAATAAAATTGTTGGCTTTCATAATTAAAAAATCATTTATTGGTTATATTTTATGTGCCAGGCACTTGTGCAGTGTCATATAAGTGCCAAAAATAGTTTCTGCCTTCGAGAACTACAAAGTAAATATTGTGGCATAATCAGACATTTTTCCTAGATTCATCAGACAAATTAATTTGACCAGATACTTAATTTTGTTCACTAAGTTATCCTCTTTAAAATCTGAAATTATTATAACACTATATTTGGTCTTTAGTTACTAGGTATTTAATCACTTTTTTCATAATTTTAAAATTTGACTTTTCTGGTAATACTGATACTGATTATTTGAAAAGTTCTTGGTATTTTGAACCCTCAAATTCTATAGAAAACTAACTGTCCAAGAATTGAGATACATACACATACACAAATACATATATGTGTGTGTGTGTGTGTGTGTGTGTATGTAAGTATGTATGAATGAATGTATACCTTTGATGTGAATGGGTAGCTTGTTGGAAGGAAATGAGAAGAACTAGAGACCAGGAACAAATTTAAAAGTAGAAAGAAATAACTCAAAGAAGATAAGGTATGGATGCTAAAGGGATGAGTAACAGTGGTGTGGTTCTGGTCCCAGAGAAAATCATCTGTTCGCAGTAGACATAGGAGCATTGACTTTAATAAGGGAAGCAAAAATGTTATTTGAGATCAGAGTGAAGAATGAGTAGGAAGAACAGAAAAATGGGGAAACATGGAATTGCTTATATCAGATCTATTTTCTCTATTAAGGATATGAGATCATCTTCTAAAGGTACTACACTTAGGGACTAAATAAGATGTCAATTGAGGACTGCTTTTCGGGAAAATATTGTAAACTTATACAACTTTTATAATCATTTCATGGGATACAGCACTGATGATAAATCACAAATATATTTTTTCTCCCCCTCAGCAAAAAATCAGTTGGAATTCTGTTGTCATATGCTTCGAGGAACAATAGACCCAAAGGAGCCATCTACCTATGAATATGTGAAATTTATAGGAAATTTCAAATCTTTAAACAATGGTGAGTTAAATCAGTTCTCTAAAAAGGTATTTTAGTCCGATATTCTTTCATGTTGTCAAAGACATGATGTCAATGTTTGAAGATCAGTAATAACTAGATTTTACCAGAGTAACTGATAACACGGATTTCCTTATTGTTCCAGTATCTACTTCAGCACACAATGGTTTTGAAGGAACTATACAACGCACACACAGGCCTTCTTATGAAGATAGAGTTTGTTTTGTAGCTACTGTCAGATTAGCTACACCTCAGTTCATCAAGGTATGTTTCTAATTTTATTTCCTAAAGGGGATTTAATTTTATATTTCGAGAGCCATGTTTTTTGCTGTTTCCAGAATAACTGAAACTTCCTGAAAACATTAAAGGTAATGATGGCCATGAGTCTTCAACTATACATGATCATGATAATTTTGAAGCAAATAATGACTTAATAAGGCACTTATTAAATTACAGAATTCCATTTTGAAATATATGTTCTTTGCAGCTAACTGGTGGTTATATATCACTATTGTCCTGCTGTTGTGTAAAATATTAGGATGCTTTTTTGTATAGTTCAGAACCTCATTAAAGGGGAAAGGCCAAAAATGTAGGTAATTTTAAAGATTGTTTTTTTGAACTTTTTTTTTTTTTAAGAAATATACAAGTGGCTTTTTATTGCATGTAATTTACCTTTTCAATTTTAAAATTAAAAAAAATTGTTTTTATGTCATGGGTCCCACTAGACCCATGATTAGTAGCAGATGATTAGTAGCAAAGTGGGATGGTGAAATAATTCAACCACTAGAAGAAAGTGACTGCAAGTAAGCCAGGCAGAGATTTTAAATTTAGGGAGATACCATATTGTAGGACAAAAGTACTGGGTTAGCAGTTAGATCTTTAAACCAGTCTCACTCTTCTTGTTTTAATCTTAGGGAATAAAAGCTGTGGATAATATTAAGTGCTTATTACATGCTATATACTTTACATGCATTATCTCATTTAATTCTTAAAACAACGCTATAAGGTAGATGTGTAGCGTGAGCCTCATTTTATATAGAAGGAAACTGAGGCTTAGGGAAGTTAAGTTACTTGCCCAAAGTCAAAGCTATTAAGTGGCAGAACTGGAAATGATTCTAATTCTTTTTCTCTCAAAGTCCATACTCTTAATCACTGCATTGTGCTATAGAAGATCATTCAAGGACTCAGAGGCAGGTTGGAATACAGTGCTGAGTGTGACTAGAGTCCAGGGTTGTTATCATGTGTGTGGAGGGGGTGGGGATCATGGGAGATAATGTTAGAACGGTAATCAGAGGCCAAAAATGAAATGTGTATGTTTCTTTGTTTGTTTCTCCATGCTGAAGATTTCGACTTTATGCTAACAGAATAAGGAACCAGTAGAGTTTCTAAGCTGGGAAGTTACATAATCATATTTAGGCATCAGTGAGGTAATTGTGGGTGGAAGAATGAGACTTGTTTGGAGAGATGCTATGGCAGTAATGTGAACTAGTGATGGCAGAGGGCTAAAGTCTAAATCTGAGACACTGAAGACGAATAGGATCAAATAGATTTTTTTTAACTTAGGTGAATTTGAAAGGATTTAGTAGTAGTAGGCATTTAGATGGTGAAGGTGAAAACAAAAGTGTATTGTGGCTCAGATTGCTGGACTATTGATACAACATAGGTATATTTTGTAATGGATAGAGAATCATTTCAGCTGGATATAAAGAGTAAGGCAGTAAGTTCATTTTAGGAAATACTGAATTTGTGATGTGTGGGAACATCTAGACAGGAATGTGGAACCGTAGTTCAGGGGAGAGATCTGATTTCAGAATTAGGATTTGTAGGCATGTGAATAGATGGAGAAATGTGTAAAAGAAGTACTCCTGGAAGCCTGCATTTATTTATTGCCACATTTATAGTACTAGAAAATAAAAATGTGTTAAAATTTCTTAGGGAAAAGTTATGTAATAGTGGCTTTTATGGCTAACAATATTTAGGCTATAAATATTGTTAGGACAGAAAAGTATTTCTGGATTTTAATTATTAATTTATCTGTAGGAAATGTGCACTGTTGAAGAACCCAATGAAGAGTTTACATCTAGACATAGTTTAGAATGGAAATTTCTATTTCTCGATCACAGGTAATTCCATTTTTAAATTTCATAAAAGGGTAATAGTCATGTAAGTGTTTAAATTAGTGGATTTCAAGGACAAACTTTTTCTAATCTTGATGATTAAGTCTATTTTACAAAAAAATGAAGGTTTCCCTTAAAATTGATTTCTAGTTGGAATATTCCTCATTATGGAAAAGTTATAATATTGTTTTATATGTAATTTAGGGCACCACCCATAATAGGATATTTGCCATTTGAAGTTCTGGGAACATCAGGCTATGATTACTATCATGTGGATGACCTAGAAAATTTGGCAAAATGTCATGAGCACTGTAAGTAGAATTTAATCTTTCTAGTGATAATAACTGTATTTAATCCTATAAACAACTATTGTATTAATTGAAAGTGGTAAAAAACAGACTTTTAGCCATTTTGTATTTTGAAATGTAATAGAAGGTTTTATTTTGTGTGTATAACCAGTCCAGTAAGAATCATAGATTAAGTTTAAATTAAACTGGTTCCTCCTTTACATATTTCAGTCTGTAATAGTAAGTACAGTTTTATAATACGATATCTAATAAACCTCGTTCTGAAGTGTATAACTGCTACATCTGGAGTAAGACAAATAGATGCCTTTGAAAATGCAATAGCATGTCAAAAAATTAGAATACTTTATACATTTCGAGTTACAGGTATGTAAGTCTAGCCAGGAGGTAGGTACACATTTAAAGAATCTCTTAGGAAACTCATAGTGAGGGCTTAATGTTACCTGTTGTTATTGTTACTAATAGCAGAAGCATTATCTCATTGTGCCGTGCGTTATTCTGAACAATTTATTCATCACCACAGCTCTAGAAAGTAGATACTATTATTTTTTCTGCAGGTAAACTGAGGCACAGCAAGGCCAAGTAATTTGCCCACAATCTGGTAACTCATTGGTGGTAGCGATGGGATTAGAGTCTAGACCTACCCTATGACTATATGCTAGTTATACTTTGTTTCAGTCATAGGTTTTATTTGCTTTCCTTATCCTCCTCCCCAAAACTACTCTCTTGAATAGCCTCTAAAACTAGAGATTTAAGATACTTTCATGATGCCTTAGGCCATATGAAAATTAAGCATATTTTATGATGGCATCAACCACATGGAAGATTTTTAGAGTAAAGTCATTTCAGCACAAAAGAAAACATTACTTACTTCAAACAGTATGGACACTAAACTTATGATCACACACACACACACACACACACACACACACTCACACACTCTCTCTCTCACAGAAATCGATACTGATTCTTGACCAGCACTTAATAAGGTTAGTTGATTGAATGCTAGTCCATACAAAATGGATTTTGTGGTCAAGGAAGACTAGAAAATACTTCATAATTAATCCAGTACCTCCTCCCCCCATTCACTTTCCTGAATCTTAACATACAGTAACATTCTGAAGTTTTTGACAATACTAAATAAGCCTATTTAACAGTTTCTCAAATTAATTTGACTACAACCTCCCCCCACCCTTTTATGGCTTAATATATGTTAACAGGCTACAGTACAGTCTGCAGAGTGTTTTGGGAAATACTCTCAGAATAAAAGACACACACACTAAAAGTAAAGAGATGGAAAAAGATATTTTGTGCAAATGGAAATTTTTAGAAAGCTGGGGTACAAATACTTATACCTGACAAAAGACACTTTAAAACAAAGGCTATAGTAAGAGACAAAGAAGGACAGACACTACATAATACAGGGAGCAATCCAACAAGAGGATATAACTCTTATGAACATTTATGCACCCAACATAGGAGCACCTAAACATACAAAGTAAATCTTGTGGGCACAAAGGGAGAGATTGACAGTAATGCAGTCTTGGTAGGGGATTTTAATACCTCATTACAGTCAACAGATAAATCTTCCCATCAGTAAGTCAGCAATGAAGCAGCAGTCTTGAGTGACACCATAGATCAGATGGATTTTATATTTTCAGAGCATTTCACCCCAAAGCAGTAAAATATGCATTCTTTTTAAGTTCACATGGAATATTTTCTAGGATAGACCACATGTTAGGACACAAAACAAATCTCAGTAAATTTAAGAAGATTGAAATCATATCAGGCATCTTCTCTAACTATAATGGTATAAAACTAGAAATAAATGGCAAGAAAATAACTGAAAAACACACCAATATATGAAGGCTAAAATAAAATAGTACTAACAAGGAGATCAAGAAAGAAATCAAAAGATGTCTTAAAGCAAATGAAAATGAGAACACACAACCCAAAATTTATGGGACACAGCAAAAGTAGTCCTAAGAGGGAAATTCATAGTATTACAGGGCTACCTCAAAAAAAAAAAAGGAAAATCTCAAATAAATTATCTAACTTTACACTTTAAGGAACTAGAAAAAGAACAAACAAAGCCCGAAGGGAGTAGAAAGAAGGAAGAAATAAATGAATAAAGTCTAAAAAATGATGCAAAAGGTCAATGAAACTAAGACCTTTTACTTTGAAAAGATAAATAAGATTGACAACCTTTAACAAGAGTCATCAAGAAAAAAAGAGAGAAAACCCAAATAAACAAAAATGAAACAGGAGAATAACAACTGCCACCAAAGAAGTACAAAGGATTGTAAGAAAATATTACAGACAACTATAAATGAACAAATTGGACAGCTTCAATGAAGTAGGTAAATTCCTAGAAGCATACAGCCTTCCAAAACTGAATCAGGAAGAATAAGAAAATCTGAATAGACTTATTAAAACTAATGACACTGAAGCAGTAATTAAAAACTCCCAACAAACAAAAGTCCTGGACAGCATGGCTTCACAAGTACATTTTACCAAACATTAAAGAAAAACTTATACCTGACCTTCTCAGACTCCTCCAAAAAATTCGAGAAGAGGGGAAGACTCCCAAGCTGATTTAAAAGGCCAGCATTATCCTAATTCCAAAACCAGATAAAGAAACTACAAAGAAAGAAAATCATAAGCCAATATCCCTGGTGAACATAGATTCTGAAATCCTCAACAAAAGATTAGCAAACCAGATCCAGCAATATATTAAAAAGATTGTACACCATGATCAAGTGTGATTTATTCTGGGGATGCTTGGTTGGTAGAGTGTCCACAAATTTAATAAATGCGATATATCGCATAAACAAAATGAAGGATAAAAAGCACATGATCATATCAATAGATGTAGTAAAAGCATTAGATAACCCCCCGTGCCTATTTATGATAAAAACTCTCAGCAAAATGGGAATAGAGGGAACATACCTCAACATAATAGAGACCATGTATGACAGACCCATACTAGTAGACCCATAATAGCCAGCATCATACTAGTGGGCAACTAAAAGTGTTTTCCTTAAGATTGAGAATAACCCAGGAATGTCTGCTTTCACCACTGTTATTCAACATAGTACTGGAAGTCCTAGCCACAGCAATCAGACAAAGAAGAAATAATAGGCATCCAAATTGAAAAGGAGTAAAACTGTCATTATTTGCAAGTGATGAGATACTATACATAGTGAACCCTAAACAATTACACCAAAAGAACTACTAGAACTGATTCGTGAATTCAGTAAAGTAACAGGATACAAAATAAATATCCAGAAACTAGTTGCATTTTATACACTGTTGGCACTAGTTGCATTGCAATAATGAACTATCAGCAAAGGACCCTAAGAAAACAACTCCATTTACAAGTTCATTAAAAAAATACCTCGGAATAAATTTAACCAAGGTTGTTAAAGAAAATTATAAAACACTAAAAGAAATTGAAGACTACAAATAAGCGGAAGCATATACCATATTCATGGATAGGAAGAATTAGGATCATTAAAATACCATATTACCCAAAGCAATCTATTATTCAGCACAATTTCTATCCAGATACCAATGGCGTATTTCACAGAACTAGAATAAATATTCTAAAACTTTATATGGAACCATAAAGAACCCAAGTAGCAGCAAAAATCCTGAGAAGAACAGAGTTGAGTGAATCATGCTACCTAATACCAAACTATACTATGAGTCCATAGTTATCAAAACAGCATGATAGTGGCATAAAAACAGATATTGATCAATAGAAAAGAATAGAGAGCCCAGAAATAAACCCACACCTTTATACACCTTTATATTTAACAAAGGAGGAAAAAATAATACAATGGGCTAGAGATAGTCTGTTCAATAAATGGTATTGGGAAAATTAGATACATGCAAAAAAACTAGACCACCGTTTTATACCATATAAAAGAACATAAATGGATTAAAGACTTAAATGTTAGAATTAAAACCATAAAAATCATTGAAGAAAACATAGGCAATCAAATTTGGACATTTCTCAGCAAATTTTTTTCTGATATATCTCCTCAGGCAAAGGAAACAAAAACAAATAGGACTACATCAAACTAAAAACTTGTTGCACAGTAAAGGAAACCATCAACAAAATGAAAAAGACAACCCAGTAAATGAGAGAACATATTTGCTAATGATAAATCTGATAAGGGTTTAATATCCACAGTTTATAAAGAACTTCAAAACAATCCCAAACAGTCCAAATTAAAAATGGGCAAAAGACCTGAATAGACACTTCTCCAAAGAGGACATAACAGGTGACCAATAGATACATGAAAAGATTGTCAATGCCATTAGTTATCAGAGAAATGCAAATGGAAACCACAATGAGATACCACCGCACACCTGTCATAATGGCTATCATCAGTAACTCAATAAGTAATCAAGTGTTTCCAAGGATGTGGAGAAAAGGGAACCCTTGTGCACTGTTGGTGGGAATGCAGATTGGTGCAACCATTAACAATGGGCCTGCCTTGTGACCCAGTGATTCTGGGTCACATTCAAAGAATATAGTCAAAGAAACTCAAAACACTGACTTGAAAGAATATGTGTACCCTTATATTCATTGCAGTGTTATTCACAATAGCCAAGATTTGGAAGCAGCCCAAGTGTTCATTAGTGGATGAGTGGATAAAAAAGTTGTGGTACATTTACACAATGGAATACTACTCAGCTGTAAAAATGTAGGAAATCTTACCTTTTGTGATAGCATGAATGGATCTGGAGAGCATTATGCTAAGTGAAATAAGCCAGTTAGAGAAAGAAAAGTACCATATGATTTCAGCTGTATGTAGAATCTAACAAACAAAATTAACTAATTAGTAAATTAGTAAGATAGATAGAAACAGACTCATAGATACAGAGAACAGACTGACAGCTGTCAGAGGAGAGGGAGAGATTACTTATTGCTGTTACCTTCTGTGTATCTAGGGAGGAGGAAGTCAATATGCACATACTTTATTGAGTATTTGGAAATTTATTGTGTATGAAAAGTATCTAAGCTCAGCAATATTTGGCTGTAGGTTGGACACTGTGAAAGAGTAATTGCTTGAGACCTTGTATATACAGAATAGACTTTTCTTATAATTGATACATATGTTACTGAAAAGCCAGAAGAATTGTATATATAGATATAAATATAAATGATACTCTTTGCTAAAAATAAGATTTATTACTTACAATATGAATCAAAAATATTTCTCTCTTTTTAGTGATGCAATATGGGAAAGGCAAGTCTTGTTATTACAGGTTCCTGACCAAAGGACAACAGTGGATTTGGCTTCAAACTCATTATTATATCACTTATCATCAGTGGAATTCAAGGCCAGAGTTTATTGTTTGTACTCACACTGTAGTAAGGTAAATTCTTTTATAGAATTTCTGAACTATAGGAATATCCATAATGATATTAACAGTGAATTTTATATCTGTAACTTGTTCATGAACTACAAAATGGTTTTCCTCATTTTTGACACACTTTTAATACATTGTTAAGTTTACTTACATACATTATATAGCAATAAAATGTAGGTACATATAGATATATAATTCTCGCCATAAATTTTATGGTTAGAGCAGAAGTTGTAACTGTATTTTATGTATCACAGTTAATCATATAAAAGGGAAACAGGAGTAGACAAGCATACTCTTTATTTAATTTCTTTTAATTTAAGAACTGTGCAGTTACAGATTGTTTACATTAGATACCTAGAAAAATGCAATTCAAGTTAAGATGTTGCACACTATATCTTAATTATAAATATGTAGTACCTTTGTGTAGCACATGGAAAATAGCCTAGAATGAGTGATGAGCTAGTAACACTGACAAACACCGAATGGGTGCAGATCTGTAGTATTTTAAGTGAACGCAAAACAATAAAATGCTTTTTTTTTTTGAATTTGTAGTTATGCAGAAGTTAGGGCTGAAAGACGACGAGAACTTGGCATTGAAGAGTCTCTTCCTGAAACAGCTGCTGACAAAGTATGTAGCTTACAGTTTAAATAAAATTATTTCTTTCCCATGAAAAATAACTCAATAATTTATAGGAAATTTAATTTGTATGAAAAATAATTTATATGAAAATTATTTTTTTCTGACAGGGTTAAATTTTAAATGTAATATTAAAATTTTTTCTGCTTCTGAAAAAGATTTGAAGGGTCAGCCCTGGCCAAGTGGTTCATTTAGTTAGAGAGCCATCCTGTACACCAAAGGGTCATGGGTTTGATTCCCGGTCAGGGCACATACCTAGCTTGCAGGTTACATCCCCTGTTGGGGCACATAGGGGGAGGCAAGCAATCAGTGTTTCTCTCTCACATCACTATTCCTTTCTTCTCTCTTTAAAATCAATAAAAACATGTCTTCACCTGAGGATTTAAAAAAAAGATTTGAAGGGTCTGCTTTTTAGTGGTAATCAGATGAGAGGCATGTGCAGTCTCAGATTTAAACAAACCTTTATTTATTGCCTACAACATGGTAGGCTGTGGCTAGGTTCTTTATATGAATTATAAAACAACTTTAACACCTCAGACATCCTTACCTGCTAGGCAGTATCCCCACTTGGAAAAAATTGAAACTGAGCCTTTTAGAGATGGGTAGCCTTCCCTAAGAACACATGACTGGGAAGTTATAGTCAGACTTTGAACGCTGATTTCTTTTATTATTATGTCATGTAGAAGTGTAGTGTATTAGCTACCTGTTATGAAACAAAACTTAATGAATAAAATAACACAGTTATTAATTTGTATCTTGTGGTTAAGATTCCAGGCAGATTAGTTGGGACCTCTGGTTCTGAATTGGCTATGAGGCTGCAGTCAAGGTGTCAGCTCAGGTTCTCTTACAAGGCTGTAATCAAGGTGTCAGTTGGGTCCACAGTTATCCCAAGGATAGCTGGGTCAGAATCTCACCTTGGTGAGGTTGGTTTCCAGGCTCACCTTGGTTCATGGAAGGATGTGATTCCTCACATACATTTGGACTGCGGGCCCTGACTCCTTGCTGACTGGTAGAGAAAATTCAGCAAAATGAAAGAGTGTTTTGTAACATAATAATAGAGGTGATATCATGTCCTGTACACAAGAAGCAAATCACTAGGTTACCCTACTGTCACAGGGAGGGATTATAAGGGTGTGACTATCAGGAGGTATAGGACTCATGAGGCATGTTAGAGGTTCCCCAGCACAGGTATTTTTGACCTGAAGAAAATACATGGAATGAAAATAGCCAAGAATTTATATAAAAAGCATGTTAAACAGGCAGCCTGCCAGGGGACAATATGGGGGATTATCCTTCAGTCGTTCAGTAAACTTAATTCAGTACCTTGTGTATGCCAGGAAGTACTGAACATGGCTCATGGATCTGATGTGAAAGAATGTTTCAGTCACTACCAAGCCCTTATTAGATGAAATGTTAAAGGGACTTGTTTAAGAAAAAGAAGATAAAAGATACGAACAGTAGAATGACAATGAACACAACTGTCAACAATTGAACCTAAAAAAACAAAAACTAACTATGCAAACCACCAGAACAGATTCACAGAAATAGAGATCACATGGAGGGTTATCAGCTGGGAGGGGGTTAGAGAGAATGGGGAAAAAGGTACAGAGAGTAAGAAGCATAAATGGTAGGTACAAAATAGACAGGGGGAGGTTAAGAACAGTATGGGAAAGGGAGAAGCCAAAGAACTTGTATGTGTGACCCATGGATATGAACTAAGTGGGGGGAATGATGGTGTGAGCAGGGTATAGGGTGGAGGGGGATAAATGGGAGAAAAATACAGGACAACTATAATAGCATAATCAATAAATATATTTTATTGTATACACAGAAGCTTTGTATACACAGAAGAAGAAGATCCAGTATATTTTAGTAAAGGAAATTTTCTGAGGAAAGTGCTTAATCTGGGGTTTCCGAAATGAGGGCCATCATAGAAACTGAAGTAATACGGACTGTCCCCCCATGCCTCCTCTTTTTCCCCCATGCCAGTGTTCAGCCTACCACATTCAGCTAGCTGTACTTCCAAAATATATTCCAGCTGTCCCCTTTCTCACCATGTTTACTGTTATCACTGCGGGCCACTGGGAGTTTAGGGAAGAGGTCCATTTGAGATACATTTTTGAGAAACTTCAGTGTACGGGTGGATTTAAAGTCAGGAGTCCAAATTTGGTCACTCAGGGAGTGGATGTAAAGAGAGATGACAGCCAAGTACTAAGCATTAGTGTTGGGGCACTGCAGCAGTAAGAGGTGAAGGAGACAAGGATGAACCCATCACAGAGGAGATCAGGGGGAAATAGCCAGTGAGGTAGGAATAAAACCAAAAAGCGAAATTGTCCTAGAAGGTGTAGGCATTGAAAGACTGAGGTGGAATCGAAAGGTTTGGAGATGAGGAGTTCCTAAAAAACAGAGGCCAGGCAGGACAGGCTGGTGGGTAAATCATCCATGTGGATTTTGAAATTCTGTAGAAAGGTCAGTTAGGCTGAAGAGGAAGATTTTGAGCAGCCAGAGATGGTCTATAAACTAGTGACATCTTTATTGTGTTGTTTTTTTTATACTGTCTTCGTTGTTTTAATGTGATAAAATACACTTAACAAAATTTACCATCTTAACCAATTTTAAGTGTACAGTTCAGTGCCATTAAGTACATTCACACTGGTGTGCAGCCATCACTACCATCCATCGCCAAAGCCTTTTCATCTTTCCAACTGAAACTCCATGTCCCTACTCATTGAACCATACTCTCCATTCCCTCCTCCCTCAAGTCCCTGGCTGCCACCACTCTACTTTCTGACTCTATTAATTTAACTCCTGTGTGTACTGCATACAAGTGGAATCGTATAGTAATTGTCCTCTTATGATTCACTTATTTAATGTGGCATAATGTTCTCAGGGTTTATCTATATTGTAGCATGTGACAGAATTTTCTGAATAATATTTCATTGTGTATATACTCCAAATTTTTGTTATCCACTGATCCATCATTGGACACCTGGATTGCATATGTCTTTTGGCTGTTTTGAATAATGCTGCTATGAACATGGGTGTACAGATATATATTTGAGGCCCTGCTTTCAATTTTTTTGAGTTTATATATCCAGATATGGAATTGTTGGGTCATATGCTAATTCTGTGTTTAATTTTTTAGCAGCCATCATACTGTTTTCCATTGTAGCTGCATTATTTCACATTTCCATCAGCAGTGCACAAGAGTTCCAGTTTCTTCATATTCTCACCAGGACTAGTTGTTTTCTGGCCGGGTTTTTATAATAGCGATTTGGATGGATATGAATTAGTATGTCACTGTTGTTTTATTTGTATTTCCCTAATGATTGTTGATGTTGAGCATCTGTTTATGTGCTTATTGGCCATTTGTATAACTTCTTTGGAGAAACATCTGCAAGACCATTGCTGGTTTCGTAACTGGATTGTTCAGAGGGGTTTTGCTGTTGAATTGTAGGTGTCGTTTGTATGTTCTTGTACTAATTTCTTACTGGACGTATGATTTGCAAATGTTTTGTCTCTTTCCATGGATTGCCTTTCCACTCTGGTATACTGCCCTCTGATGCACTTTTGTTGCTCGTGCTTTTAATGTCATATCCAAGATATCACTGACCAATCCAATGTCAGAAAGCTGTTCTCCTTCTAAAAGTTTTATAGTTTAGCTCTTATGTTTAGATCTTTGACCCATTTTGACCTAGTTTTTGGCATACTATATGGTAGGAGTCCACCTTCATTCTTTTGCATGTGTTGTTTCTTTAAATCAAGAATGAAGCCAAGACTTCTGTCTGTAAAAAGAAATTTTCATTTCTTTGAAGATCACATGGAGGGTTAGCAACAGGGGAGTGGGAGGAGGGGAAGGGGGAGTTTTAGGTGTGGGGGGTGGGGAAATGAATTAAGAATCTGGATGGGGGGGGGGGGGGAGATAGGAGAAATTTTATTCTTACCTAATAAGTACACAGATATCATTGCCTTGTTATGGGTAAAAACTCATTTTGGTTAAGAGGGGTTAGTAAGCAATATTTGGGGTCTCTGAATTAGATCACAAGAAAATGTTTATTTTACTCTTTTCTCCTTAGAGCCAAGATTCTGGGTCTGATAATCGTATAAACACAGTCAGTCTCAAGGAAGCATTAGAAAGGTTCGATCACAGCCCTACCCCTTCTGCTTCCTCCCGGAGTTCAAGAAAATCATCTCACACCGCAATCTCAGACCCTTCCTGTGAGTACTGTAGCTTGATAGCAGACTCCTTTATAGAGAGTGTTTCTCGGTATCAGCATTTTTAATCAAATGCTACTTTAAAATAAGTATTGCATTTTTAAAATATATTTAACTTTTCAGTAAGAGGCACATTGCTCACATTTGGCAAAGAATTAAGTTTATGAAGTAGCCTATAAAATATATAGGTAATAATGTTGGTATTATTGTTTTTAATCATCTGTCAAAAAGAAAACAATTTATTTCTTTTATTTATTTTACTGGTACAGCCAGTAAGTGTTCTTTCACTTTGTTTTTGAAAGTTTTTTTAAAGAGTATTGTCTTTATAAAGACTTGCATAATTGTCATTAAATTAGTAACTTTTTAAAACTTCTCAGGGTATTAAAATTATATGTACTAGTAAGGAGGAAAGAGGTTGTGATGAACTACTCAACATATGGGTAGAACATTAAAGATTAAACATAGAATTTCTGAAATCTTACGGGGAAAAACTTCCCCTACTAATACAGCTGTTTTCTTTTTTAACAAATGTTTTACTTTATTGTGGTAAGAACACTTAGAATGAAATCTGCCCTCTTAATTTAAGTGCACATTACTGTTGACTGGAGGTGCAATGTGGCACCGCAGATCTCTAGAGCTCATTCATTGTGCTTCACTGCAACTCTGTCCTTCGATCAGTCACTCTCCACTTTCCTCCCTGCCCAGCCCTTGCCAGTCACCTTTCCGTTTGATTCAACACATGTGACTATTTTACATCTTTCAGATCATGAAGTCAGATACTCCTGTGTTTCTGGCATTGGCTTATTTCACTTAACCTGATATCCTCAAGGTTCATCCAGTTGTTACATATTGTGGAATTGCCTTGTTTTTAAAAATTAAAAAGATTAGTATTCCTTTGTATGTATAGGGGATCTTTGTATTATTATTTATTAATGTATTATTTTCCATATGAACAAGTGCAAACTTACTTTTGCCCACCACTGTGTATACCACATTTTGTTTATCCATTCATCTGTCAATGGATATTTAACTTGTTAACATCTTGGCTGTTGTGAATAGTGCTTCAGTGAACATAGGAGTGCTCATATCTCTTCAAGATCCTGATTTCAGTTCTTTTTATAAATACTCAAAAGTGGCATTACTGGATCGTATTTTGTAGTTCTTTTATTAATTTTTTGCAAAACCTACATGCTGTTTTCCACAGTGGTGGCACCGTTTTGTATCCCTACTAACAGTGTACAAGAGTTCCAGTTCCTTCACATTCTTGCAAACACTTGTTGTCTTATTTATTTTTTTTGATAATAGCCATCCTGGCAGGTATGAAGTGATATCTTAATGTGTTTTTGATGTGCATTTCCCTGATGATTGGTGGCAATAAGTGTTTATTCATATATCAGTTGGTTGTTTGTATGTTGTTAAGAGAAATATGTATTCAGAATTTTAGGCCATTTTTCAGTTGAATTACTGGTTGTTGTGTTTTTTTCTTTTGAGTTGTAGAAGTTTTAATCAATATATTTGAAGTTTTTCTATTTAATCCTTTCTTTGTCCTTAAAAGAGAATTAAATTATCTTATTGTTGTAGACTTCACTTTTATTGATTCAATTTAGAAAAAGTCTCAAACCTAGTTTATATTCACTGAAATGCATTTTAAGATTCAGTTTTGAAAATTGCATTTTGTAAAAGATTAATACTGTTCTGTTTTTGTTAACTGATTTCAGCAACACCGACAAAGATGCCAACAGATACCAGCACTCCTCCCAGACAGCATTTACCGGCTCATGACAGGCTGGCACAAAGGAGGTCCTCCTTTAGTAGTCAGGTGAGCTCTCTAATTAGTGTTCTTCTGAATAAAGATTTATTCAAAGGGAGAAAATCATCTAAATCTTTAGAAATTTATTGATTCTATTGTCCCTTTCTATAAAATTAAAATAGTTGTTGGTGTATGACATTCAGGCTCTTTCTTTTTTTGTAAAGTAGGTGTCAAACATATTAATACCATAATTATTTTTCAAGTAAAATGTTAGATTTTATTTTTAAGTTATGAGAAGCTGATAATTTAAATCTATTCTATGTCTGACTTTAAATATGAGTGATTTTCAGTTATGTCCAGTCAGCTTTAATTGAGAACCCATGCAGGGTAATATTGCAGATGCCTTGAAAGATAAAAACATAAATAGGGGACATTGTAGATGGGGAGACATTCCTGTACTGAGCAAAAAAAGTATGAGGCAAATTATAATTGCTGTAAAGGGACTGTGGTGATATTTCTGGTGGAAGTACTCATGTATGGGAATGGTCATCACTCCAGTGTTGTTTTTTATTTTGCTTCTAGTCAATAAATTCCCAGTCTATTGGTCAGTCATTAACACAGCCAGTGATGTCTCAAGCCACAAATTTACCAGTTCCACAAGGCATGTCCCAGGTATTTTCATTTGTTTGTTTCAGTTGAGTATTTTGAAATGATAAATTGTTTTTAAGCTCATACAGATTTTAAAAAGAATACTCTTACAGATACAGTAAATCTCACCTGTGGGCATTTAGAATATCTGGGGATATTTTTGATTGTCATTATTTTGGGGGTATTACTTGCCCTTAGTTTAGCAGGTAACTGCCAAGGATGCTAATTGTCTTTCAGGGTGCATGACAGTTTTGCACCACAAAGTATTGCCCTGCTTAATATGCTGTAATATCTCTATTGAGAAACACTACAGGCAGAAAGATATTAAAGATGAAGTATAGCTGTTCATTTTATTCTTCCTATGTATATTGGAAGAATCAAGTAATTTTATTCATGTATTCATTTGTTTATATAGAGAGCATTTATTGAGTTTCTTGGATGTATCAGATATTGCAGGTGCTAGCAGTACAAAATATATATATAATATCTACACTAAAAGACTTTATTACAGTGACAGACAACTACATAGTTTAAGCTTAAGGTATAGAGGCCGATAGGTGTGCACATTAGACAGACACTTAATTCAGTCTGAGGAAGTAAAGGAAAACTTTCTGGAAGAATTTTTGCTTGAGTCCTGAAGGATGCCTAAACATAGAAATTAGCAAGACAAAGACAAGTATTGCAAAAGTGATAAGAAATTACTTTTGATTACAAATTCTAATTTATGACTGCACGCAAAGCAGAAGTTCACCAGTTTGACTGCCTGTCCAGGGCACAGGCCTGGGTTGCAGGCCAGGCCCCTGCTGGGGCCTGTGAGAGGCCGGGGCAGTTTCTCTCCCTCTCTTTTTTCTTTTCTTCACCTCTCTCTAAAAATAAATAAATAAAGTCTTTTAAAAAATACTACTGAGTAGTAGTAAAAATAATCCAAAATTTTGTTAACTGTTTTGTTTAGCATTAAATATACCTTGACTTAAAAGTATCCAAATTGTAAATAATGATAGTTAACAATCAGTGAAAACAATATTTTTCTAAAAATACCTGTCTTATATAATTATTTTCATTATGACACTTGTACAAATATATTGACAATGCAAAAAATTTTTAAACACTCTAATTTTGACTTTTAGCAATATATGCTCATGTAAGGTGTTTACAACAGCACTATTATTAAATAGTATGTGCAGTTATAGCAGCTTTTATCAGCATTGAGTCTTTAAATGCTTTTTATTCTGAAGGTTAACAGAATCTTTATTTAAAAACTTAGACATACTTTCAATGTTTAGTTTATTAATCTCAAGATACTGAATAAGCATTTAGTATTTTTAAAGGATATTTTTGTGAAATGAATATTTATGTCAAAAATGTTATGTATTCAAATCTTATATTTTTGTTCAGTGATAAAGACAAACACACTGCCTCTTAGTTCTGTGGTTTTATTTATTCTGCCTTCTGTTTGTTTCTATTATTTGTACTAAATAGAAGCTTTTTCTGTAGTGATAGCAATGTAATTATCAAAGTATGAATAACTTTAGTTAGGATAAAATATTTGCATGACATATAACATTTCAAATATTTAAAAATAAAGGAATGAGCGAGGTGAGATACTAAATTTGTAATATTTTCTTATACCTAATGTAATCTAAGATACATCTGGTTACTGTCAATTTCAAAAGTCAGAATTGAATACTTTAAAAAATAATATTCGGTATCCTCAATACAGTCTTCTGAAGTAGAGTGAAAGCTTCTGGGAGACATTTCTCACTTCTAGATGCAGTTTCTCTAGAAGGCTATTTTAAGACTAAGATTTCCAATAAAGTGAAATTCTTCCTGCTCTTATACTGTATCCTGTGCTGAGTATTCATGGAAAAAATTAAATGAGCGTAATGAAAATAAGTGTAGACTTAAGTGGTGAATCCCCAAATAGCTAAATTTTAAGCAATAGCAAATAAAAGCTGTTTATGACTCAGGTAAAACATAGAGAAGTAACATTGAAAGTTCTATTAATAGAATAACTTTCTTCTCATTCACATATGTATTTATTAATTAATAATTGCTTAGCTTTTAAAAGCTTATGTTTTGTACTTACCCAAGAACAGTTTTAGTTGAAAATATGAGAAAAATATTTTGGTTGGTTATCTGTTGGATTTTTGTGTTTCTAATGATGCACACAAAGAGGACATTCTAAGGATATCAGAATTTGATATGAGTAACTCTAGGTACAGGCTACTTTTTTAATTGATAAGCAGTGGAAATGAAGTTAAGTAACATGTTCTAGCAAGTAATAGAGCCACTATATGAGCTCATGTCTTTCAGCGCTACTGTGTACTTTTTAATCAGTTAAGATGCATTCATAAGTCAGAAATTTGAGGATGGGTAATATAAAAAATTGTCAAGTGGCAACAGAGATTAACTACTAAATTCTAGAGACTATAGGGATAACAGATACAGAAATCAGCTCTAACCATAGTGAAAGGGAAAGGACCCAAGGAAGGAACAACTTGGAAGACTCCCCAAACCACTTAAACTTCTCTTCCAGGCCAGGCTGAGATTCAGATCCCACTTGGGGAGATGTGGCTTTAGCCACTGGATGGTAGAGAAATTCACTGAGGTGCCACAGACTAGGACTGGAGAGCAGGAAACCACCTGCTAGGGTGCCAGTAGAATTTGCTGGGGAGCTGACCACTTGGAGCCTAGTGAGACTTGCTGGAGAACCATTGCCGGGGTGCTGGAGAACCATTGCTGGAGACTTGCTGGAGAATTTGCTGGGGTGCTGATGAGACTCATAGTAAGCTACTCACTAGCAGAAGAGCAAGAAGGAAAAGCACCAGAACCAGAATGATAAGCACCTCTTTTTGTAGTATCCCTCCAGCAGAGTCAACTGGCATGACTAATTTGTGCCTGCTGGCAAAGGAGAAATATCTGTAGAGTCCAGCTCTAGTGTGACAAAGATGAGCAAAAATGGGTGAATTAGCAAAGAGGTAATACATTGATAACCAGCATCTCATTCTTAGCTCATGCTGTCCTGCTTACTTTTCACATTGCACAATTAAGAGGAATAGGTGATCCTAAGATATCTTACACTTTTTCTATACATGGTACTTCAGTTTCAGTTTTCAGCACAATTGGGAGCCATGCAGCATCTGAAAGACCAATTGGAGCAACGGACACGAATGATAGAGGCAAATATTCATCGGCAACAAGAAGAACTAAGGAAAATTCAAGAACAGCTTCAGATGGTCCATGGTCAAGGGCTGCAGGTAAGATATTTGATTTAAACAAAGCATGCCATTTACATTAATTTCTTAGGTAAATTGACTGTCCTTAATTAGAAGTGACATGTAAGACAGGCTTCTGGTCAAGATTGAGGAATACGTAAACGTTGCATTCGTGTCCTCCCATGATCACATCAAAATTACAGCTCAACTACAAAACAGCCAGTGTTGAAAACCACCTGAAATCCAGCTGAACAGAAGTCCCATAACTAAGGTGATACAGTAGAAGCCACAGTGAGACTGGCAGGAGAGGCAGAGATGTGAAAGGGGCTGGTCCCACGCCCACATGTGACAGTTGAGAATGTGCAGGGATATCTCAGCTGCAGAGGTCCTCCCTGAAGAATAGGGGTCCCATTAAAAGTCCCACACCCAGTTGTTTCACCGTCAGGAATAGAAGTGCCCATAACTTCAGGCTGTGAAAACCAGTAGAGATTGTGGCTGAGTGCGACACAGGGCTTCTCGAGTCCCAGGCCTTTCTCTTATGGGGCCTGTACACAGACTTACTGGTCTCACTTCCTCTGAGCTTCAGTGCTGGAGAAGCAGCTTGAAAAATGCTAGAGACATACAGAGAGGAACTGAAATGTCTGGCTTCAGGGCAAGGGCTGGAAGGGCAGCTTTTTCCCAGACGGAAGTTGGAAGTTCTAACAGAAGCCATTATTCTTTTGTTGAGCTCTCCATCTGCAAGCACAGGCAGGTGTCATATCTTGAGCCTCCATCAGCCTGTCTGTCACTGTTCCCCCACCTCCTACAACCCTGGTAATTCTGAGACCCAGTTTCACCTAAGCTGTTTCCAGTGGTTTTTTATATAAACGGCCTCTCTTGATATGCACTGTGAATATTTCCTAAAAACTTGGTTCACAAACCCCAAACAAGCAGCATGTGGCCTTGGTATGTCCCACTACTCTTGTTAAGCAGCCCCAATGGCATCTGGCTTCATTTAGCACCTTCAGGTGACCTAGGAAGTTGTGCCACTGGGCCGCACAGGACACCTCCTCCATAAGGCCCCTCTACCAAAACTGGAGTATGTAGCATCTCTAACTGACACATATAAACAAACAGGGAGGCAGCCAGAATGAGGAGAAAAGAAACATCCCAAATGAAAGACTAGAACAAAACTCCAGAAAAAGACCTAAAGAAAATGGAGATAAGCAATCTACTAGTTGCAGAGAGTTAAGAACACTGTTTATAAGAATGCTTGATCTCAGAGAGAGCTTCAACAGACTGGAAATACAAAAATGAAGATAGCATAAAAACCAATCAGAAATGAATGCAATGATTGAAGTGAACATTGGAGGAAATCAACAGAAGATTACATGAATCAGAGGATTGAATCAGTGATTTGGAAGATAGGTAGCAGAAAATATTCAATCAGACCAGCAAAAAGAAAACTCAAGAGAGTTAGGGTAGTTTAAGGGGCCTCCGGGACAATACCAAACATACCAACATCCATATAATAGGAGTAACAGAAGGAAAAGAGAGAGAACAAGGAATTAAAAACCAGTTTGGAAAAATAATGACAGACAACTTTCTTAACCTGGTAAAGGAAATAGACATACAAGCCCCAGAAGTGCCTAGTCTGAAACAAATAATTCAATGAGGCCTGCACCAAAACATCATAATTAAAATGCCAAAGATTGAAGACAAAGATAGAATCTTAAAAGCCTCAAAAGGACAGATGTTATCTACAAAAGCGCTCCCATAAGACTGTCATATGATTTCTCAACAGAATCTTTGCAGGTCAGAGGGACTGGCACAATGTATGCAAAGTGATGAAAAGAGGGACCTGCAACCAGGCTTACTGTATCCAGCAAAGCTATCATTTGGAATCTAAGGACAGATAAAAAGCTTCCCAAATGAGAGAGCTAAATGTAGGAGTCTATCTAAAACATAAAACCAGTATTACAGAAAGTGTTAAAGGACTTCTTTAAGAGGAAGGAAATAAAAATATAAAGTATGAATAATAAAATGACAGTAACTGTATATCAAGAATTACTTTAAATATAAATGGCATAGGGTATCTGAGTGGATAAGAAACCAAGATCCTTACATACACTATCTACAAGAGACCCACTTCAGATCAAAAGACACACAGAGACTGAAAGTAAAGGGATAGAAAAAGATTTTTCATGGAAATGGAAGTGGGAAAAAAACTGGAGTAGCAATTCTTATATCAGACAAGATAGACTTTAAAACAAAGGCTATAACAAGAGACAAGAACCAGTCAATTCCATTTCTGGGCATTTATCTGAGGAAATCCAAAACACTAATTAGAAAAGAGAGGCATCGTAAGTTCACTGCAGCATTGTGTACAGTAACCAAGATACGGAAGCGACCTGAGTGTCCATTGGTAAATGGGTAAAAGGACAGTGCATTTAAGTAATGGAATATGACTCAGTCATAAAAAAAGAATGAAAACTTGTTATCTGCAAAAATGTGGATGGACGTAGAGTGTTGTGCTCAGTGAAATAAGTTAGAGAAAAACAAATGTCATATGATTTTACTTATGGTGGAATCTAAACAAATAAAACAGAAACTCATAGATAACAGAATATTTTGATGGTTTCCAGATGGGAGGGGCGTTTGAGAGGGTGGGTGAAAAAAATGAAGGTATTAAGAAGTACGAATTGGTAATTACAACACAGTCATAAGGATGTATAGTTTAGCATAGGGAATATAGTCAGTTATATTGTAATAACTGTATGGTGTCAGATGGGTATTAGATTTATTGGGGTGATCACTTTGTGCATTATATAAATGTGTAATCACTATGTTGTACACCAAGAACTAATAGAATACTGTGTGCCAACTGTAATTGTAAATCATATTTTAAAAATGACATGCAAGAGATACATTTCATCAGTTTATTACCTAAATAAACATTCATTGGTTACTGCCTCAGTATGATTGCATTTACACTCCCTAAAGATAATTTATTCCATCAACATTGTTTCTCCAGATTAGAGTCATCTTTTAGCAGTTCATTTCTTAGTAAGCTTTAATCCATATTATAAAAATTATTTACATTTTTATAGATTTAGATACATGTTGGCAGAGAATTAATTATCTTTTTTTATTACATTGGTACAGAACTTATAATAAATAATAAATCTTTATTTTAGTTAAATACCAGTGAGTATAATTTCATAGTCTTATTGGTCATGTACTCTAAAGTTATGTCTGTCAGAGACTAGGACTTTACTATAAGGAAACTTTAAGTGAAAACTACTTCGCTCTAATACTATAAATTATAAATAAGTGATGCAGAGCTCCAGTCCAGCAGTTGGGAACATGGGGTGGTTAGGATGGAGGAATGATTATGAAGTATGTTTTACTCAGTAATTATTTGTTTCTGATTGTTATTCAAAATAGCTTAGACTTGTTACTTACTTTTTAAACTTAAATTTGTAGCTTGTTTTTGCTTTTTTTAAATTTATTTTTGTTTTTAAATCTACAAAGCTCATTTTAATGTAATCTTTATTTTTAAAGATGTTTTTACAACAATCAAACCCTGGGTTGAATTTTGGTTCTGTTCAACTTTCTTCTGGAAATTCATCTAACATCCAGCAACTTACACCTATAAATATGCAAAACCAGGTTGTTCAAACTAACCAAATTCAAAGTGGAATGAATACTGGACACATGGGCGCAACTCAGCACATGATACCCCAGCAGACTATACAGAGCACATCAAGTCAGGTAATGTTTTGACTGCAACAGGCTATCGAGTGTTCAGTGATTGAAATGTGATTATTGCTGACACAAAAGTACAGCTCTATCTTGGACAATACCATATTTAAAATTAATAGTAGCAATTAGAAAGTATGGTACTATACTCATTATTAAAATATTTTGTACAGAAGTATTACTTTCTTTTACAGAAACTGTTGAATGTTAAATACTTTCATTATTTTGACATGTAAAATCTTTTGCAATTAAAAAAAATGAACATACAAGCTACTGCTATAGATTAAAAAGGTTTAACTTGCAAAAGAGGCTGATCAGGAAACATGTTACCATAAGTGAAGAATAAATGGTTGGGGCAGTGATGGTTTAATTAATATTCCAGGAAATTTTGGTGATTGGTGTGTATGTGGGACTATAAATCCCAGGGCTTCAAATGAAATACATAAAAGTGACTAAGGTTGGTCACTCTTTTTGGGCATTAGATAGAAAATCTTCATGTTTATTTTATATTATCCCTGTTAAGATTATACTCCTTTTCTAAAATCATTTACCTTCCAGCAAGATATTGAAGACTAATTTTTAATTACTACAAATCATTTTCTTCTCCCAGAGTAATAGGTCCTACCACTTCTTTTTCTGTCATGTCAACTATTGTTAGAATAATGTAGAAGCATACTTCCTGATGTAAATATTTTCAGTTAATCTGTTATTAAATCTCCTCTTTTCCAGCAGAGTCAACAGAATGTACTGAGTGGGCACAGTCAACAAACATCTCTTCCTAGTCAGACACAGAGCACTCTTACAGCACCGCTGTATAACACTATGGTGATTTCACAGCCGGCGGCCGGAAGCATGGTCCAGATCCCGTCGAGTATGCCACAAAACAGCACCCAGGGTGCTGCCGTAACTACGTTCACTCAGGACAGACAGATAAGGTAGTTGCCATATTTCACTAGTCATTCTGAACTGGTAAATTAGGGGACTAAGAAAACAATTTAATTTTTAAAAACATGATTTTAGTTTGTTACTCTAGCCAGTATCCTTGAATTTGAAATAAAAACGCAGAACGTATTCATTTTTTAAGGACTTTATAATAAAAAGATAGCGACAAATTTTGTTTCCTTCCTCAAAATGTGCTACCAAATACTGTAGAATCCAAATTCTGCAACACACTGTTATATGAATTTTATGACAGGCTTTTATATCACTTTGAAACCTTTATTGTTTTAATACAGATACTGGTGCGTTTTCATACACTGACAATGGTTAGGGTGTACAGTACCATAGTTGATATATATTATGGAATAAAAGTAGCATGCCTTTCTTGAGTTTGTTCAATATTATACTAAATGACTATAACATCTCATTTAATTCCTTTTTTAAAAAATGTGTTAGAGTCTTTTATTTCTCATATAAGAAAAAAAGTGAGTTTTTAGTGATTTGGCCAAGGACCTACAGCAAGTTAAGGGAGTGAAGGGGAGGGGTTCTGAATCTGAGCCTCAGTGTCTGACTTCAAAGCTCAAATTCTTAAACATATACTACACTAAACTTGTGTGGGCCATTCATGAGACATCTATGATTTATTTTGGTATGAATAGCTGGCTTAGAAACAAAGTTTTTGAAGAAATGCCATTTTCCTACAATGGGAAGCTTTTAACTTTAGAATTTGTGTAGTCTTAAAACTTCTATTTTACATACATTTTACTTGTCACCTAATTTACTGCAATGCAAGTAGGCTGCTGCTTTTATAATACAACTTTGCTGTTGTATTAGGCCATCTAACAGATTATATTAAAATCCTATTAATAATTTCCAGAGTAAAGCTCCAGGAAGAACTCCTTGCTTCTTTTTTGAAACTCAGTTCCTTCAAGGTGGAAAGTCCAGTTTTTAGCTCTGATATTCTGAAAGGAAGTATTATGAATGTGCTCCATAGTAATGCAGAGGGCTAGTTTTAAAGCCTGAAGGAAGAAACTCATTAAATTAGAATGCTGGTGTGCATTTTAGAGGACATGATTTATCAACTGTTTGTAACCATCTGCTTTTGTGGGGGGAAAACTGATTTTAGCAAACATTTTTGTGCCTTCTGAGATGAGAATGGCACGTACTTGTCCCAAGAGAAAGATCAAATTAGTAAAGCCATAGAAAGGTACACAAATCAGTATTATTTGGTATCGTAAATAATTTGTAGGTCTTTAGAAGGGAGGAAGTGAGCAGCTTTATGGGTCGAAGCAAGGAGGTGGAAGAAGAGTGTGCTTGGAGAAAGTTTGGTGGAGGAAATACCTTCTGTGAGTCCTAAAGAGCTTGGCTTTTGGGGGGGGGGTGGCAGGAAGTCTGGGGAGGGTATTCTAGGCCGAGGGAGCAGCATATACAAAGCCACAGAAGTGAGAGTTAAATAGAAGTAGGTTGAAGAATGTCTTTTGGTTCTAGAGATGGATGAAGTAGTTCTCATTACATTTTAGCAGTGAGGAGTTGGGCAATTCAGATACTAATTTATTTTACAATTACAGAGAAATTAGCACACAGCACTTTTGTGACTAAATCACTTTATAAATGTTACTTGTTTCTTTGGTTTTTTAATACATAATTTTGAATTTGTATTTTTTGCATTAAATAACACATTTGGTCCTGAAGCGTATAAAATCTAGTATTTTATTTTTAAGTTTGACATGGTTTCAGAATAGACTTATTTTGTCTTGTGGCACACGTAAATCATAAAGTGTGCGTCTGCACTAAGGTTAATACTGTGCACTCTGAACAGTCCAGCTGCAGTCACGTCCTGCTGCCTCCACAGCAGGGCCACGTGCGTCTCAGTCTTTTCCCTGTAACAGCTGCGTTAGAAACTAACTTCATTTCACAGAAAAGGGAAATAAAAAACAGCACTCTTCCCTGAAGAGGCATCGTTTTTTGTTGTTAGAGAAAATAGAAGAAGGAAGGTGAGGAGGGAGGAACGTCAGTGAATTCCGACAGAGTGAATGCTGTGCTGCATCGATACATTTGTAAATTGAGGGTACTCGTATGCGCTGTCACAGTGCCATTTAGTTTCGAATTATGATTGTAAGATATAACTGGAATGTAAATATCTCCTGTAAACCTAGAGTTTTTCTAATTCCCTTGTGACAATTTTAAGTTTATTCATGATTAGCTAAATCAACCTTGTGCCACATATTTGACTCCAGATACCTAGTAATTTTTAAAAAGAAAAAAGCTTTATCAGGCTTCAATTTTTTTGTTGTAGTAAAATATACATAACAAAGTTTACCATGTTAAACCAGTTTTTGTATGTACAGTTCATTGGCACAGCATACATGCACATCCTCGTGAACATGGCTGCCATCAAGTATCCAGAACTTTCCCATCTCAGCAGAATGAAATTGCCCATCGAATAATAACTCCTCCTTCCTCCTCCCTTCTAGCTCCTGGAAACCACCATTCTACCTTCTCAGCACAGAAGTTTGAGTTTGACTACTCTAGATACCTTTTATAAGTGAAATCATCATACAACATATGTCTTTTGTGACTAGCTTATTTTACTTGGTGTCATGTCCTCAAAATTCATGTGGCAGAATTTCATTCTTTTTTAAGGTTAAATAATACTCCATTGTTTTTATGCACCACCTTTTGTTTATTCATTCTGTTGCTGGACATTTGGGGTACATTCATTGTTTCGTTATTGTGAATAATGCTTGGATCCCTGCTTTCAATTCTTTTGAGTATATACACAGAAATGGAATTGTGGGGTCATATGGTGATTCTGTTTAACTTTTTGAGGAACTGTCATAACTGTTTCCCATAGGAACTGTATTATTTTACATTTTTACATTCCCATCAGCAGTGCAGAAGGGGTTCACTTTCTCCACATGCTCACCAACAGTGGTTATTATTTTCTTCTTTTGGGGGGGATAGTAGCCATTCTGGTGCGTGGGTGTGATGTGGTTTCTCATTGTGGTTTTGATTTGCGTTACACTGATGGCTAGTGATATTGAACATCTTTTTATGTGTTTATCGACCATTTTTATGTCTTTTTAGAATAAATGTCTATTTAAGACCCATTTTTTAATCTGATTGTTTGTTGCTGAGTTGTATGCTTGCTTTATATATTCTAGTTATTAACCCCTTATCAGAACGAAGATGATTTGCAAGTATTCTCTCCCACGCTGTGGATTATCCTTTCACTGCGTTGATAGTGTCCTTTGATGAATAAAAGCTTTTCATTTTTATATACAGTTTATTTTTTCTTTTGTTACCTGTGCTTTGAATGTCGTATTTAAGAAATTACTGCCCAATCCACTGTCACAAAACTTTTCCTTTATGTTTTCTTTTAAGAGTTTTATAGTTTTAGCTCTTAGGCTTTCATGTTTATTCTGACAGAGTTAATTTTTGTATATGGTATAACATAAAGAGTCCAACTTCATTCTTTTGCATGTAAATATGCAAGAAAAGTTTGTATTTTTGTTTATGATCACTTCATTTTTCTATATATGTGTTTCTGTTTTACTGGTATCTCAAAGAGAATATTTAAAAACATAAAACAAAATGAGTACATACAGCTTTAAAAAAACTAAATTGGCAGTATCATTGGGCATTGTCTTAGAGAAGTATTAATCCACTGCCTTGATAATGTATATTTTGTGTTTCTGACTCTCCTTCTCTTTCCTTTCTCTTACAGATTTTCTCAAGGTCAGCAACTTGTGACCAAATTAGTAACTGCACCTGTAGCTTGTGGGGCAGTAATGGTACCTAGCACTATGCTTATGGGTCAGGTGGTGACTGCCTACCCAACTTTTGCTGCACAACAGCAGCAGTCACAGACACTGTCAGTCACGCAGCAGCAGCAGCAGCAGCAGCAGCAGCAGCAGCAGAGTTCCCAGGAACAGCAGCTTACATCAGTTCAGCAACCATCTCAGGCTCAGCTGTCCCAACCACCACAGCAATTCTTACAGGTAATTCTCCCCCACAGGCAATCCATCCCAAACCCATTTACTTTAACATAATGAAGTTAAGCACTAAATGGACACTTTTGTAAATGATCTGAAAAATTTATAAGACCTTATTGTACAAGTTCAATTACTCTAAAGAGAATGGTTGTCCCAGTTAGCCGTATGTTCTTTTCCTCGTTAGTCCTTCAAAGACTTTTAGCCCTGCTGTGGACATAATCAGTTATCTGAACTGCTAGATTGAATAAGTGACTACTTCCTGCCCATATCAAGGCAGTTTAAAGATTTTATTTATTTTGTATTTTTAGACAGAGAGCAAGGGAGGGAGAAAGAGAGGGAGAGAAACATCAGTGTCCAAGAGAAACACCAATTAGTTGCCTCTTACGTGACCTGGCCCACAACCCAGGCATGTGCCCTGGCAGGGAATCAAACCAGCAATCTCCTGGTTCATAGGCCAGCACTCAGTCCACTGAGCCACACCAGCCAGGGCATCAATGCACTTTAATAGAGCCCTGTCTAGCTAGAGTTCCTGGAATTCAAGCAAAGGCAACTTACTTCTCTCTCTCTTTTTTTTCTCTAGCAGCTCATCAAACTCTACTCTCTGCAGGGCAGGGGTATTAAACAGGATTTTTTAAAATTAGTATTGATATCTTAAATTATTTTTAAAAATTAAGTTTTATAATGATTTTTGGTTATAAATTATTATTAGAGGAGAAATACTGTGGATGCAGAATACTTCATAGTTAAGAACTTGGCCTCTCAAGTCAGGCTGCCCTGAGATTCAGTCACTGTTGTATCACATTGTCTGTGACCTTTGGCAGGGTATTTAACTTGGTAAACTTCAGTTTTCTCATCTGTAACATGGTGGTGCTAATAGTTCATATCTTCACGGGTAAACAATGCATATAAATCACTGAACATAGTATAAGGCATATTAACTAACTGTTGTTTATGACCACAAATGGTAAACACTCATATTCACCAAAATGCAGACACAGATCTCTGACCTGAGCACTGGCTCACAGTGCCCATGGCGTCATGGATGATCATGAGACAAATTCACACGGACTACCGAGTCCTGTGGAGGAAAAGGGACGGCATGGCTAGTCCCTCAAGGGGAGAGCCTCAGAACGGCCTGGCCACCCTCTCAAGGGGAGAGCGGCTTGGAGCGGCCTCGCAACTCTCTCAAAGGGAGAGAGAGTGCACGGACCCTTGCCTAGACAGGATTTTATTGGTTTTTTTGCATGGGAGTTTAGGTACAACTTAATAATCATTGTCAGGCAGTAAACAGTAGATAGTATACAAAGACCTATTAGGGCTTCTCCTAAGTCAGGGTCTGTCAGCTAAAAGGCTACATAACTTTGGGAACATGAACTCTTTCTGCTGGGGCCTTTATCATTTAACTAAAAGCATTCTTAGCAAAGCAGACTTTGCAGGATTGTTAGGGATTCTTTCTCATCCAGATCACCCAGGGAACTCTCCATTCCCAGCACAAGGCTGCACCACCCTCTCATTGTTTTCAGACTTAAGTCAGGCAGAGGAGGCAGAGAGCCAAAGCATTCTCGGAGACTTCTTGCAGACAGACTGAGGACTCAGGCTTTGTCAAAGCCGGGGGGGGGGGGGGGGGGGGGGGGCGAGGATCCATCACCCCTTTTCTCCATAGCCCCCCAAGTCCTTCCCTGGGACCTCCACATGCCTGTTTTAGGTCATTCCCCCCTTGAGGAACCTTACCCGTCATTGGCTAAGTGATCAAGCATTGGAGGCTAGTTATGGAAAAAGGAGCAGAGGCGGTGCTCCTGCCAGGTGATAACCTTTGTCTCCTTAGTGCCTTATGGTCCAAAGGTCACTCACTCAGCCTTAGTCACGGTGGGTTTCAGCTCCTGAAACCACAGAGGGCGTCCCCAACAGATCTCATGTAGGTATATTAGGCAGGATCTGCTTATCCAAAGGATACAGAAGAAGGTTATCTTGATTTGTATCCTCACTGAGGGTGCTCAGTATCGGATTATGACATCTGTAAATCCAGCCTTTTTTCTTCTTGCCTCAGGGAGCAACTTTGAATGTAGGCTAGTCTAGGTTTGTGCTATAGACCAATTGATGTAGGCCAGGCACATATCATCCATTTTAGAGTTGTGCAACTTATGGTATAATTAGATTACGTTATACTAAATATTTAGTATTATACTGTATACTCAAGCATAAATATCGTGTTAATTTATTACCCATGGAGTACTGACCCAAATATAATTTCTAACCTTGTGCTGTGGAAAACTAAAACAGGTTAGTTGCTTAAATTTCCCTGTCAGGTCATACATAGTCCCTTAGACCTTAAGCCTGTACTTCAGCCATTAATGACTGGCTTACCTATTGTTATATATGAGTTAATAATCAGAATTTATAACAGGTTATAAATTATTATCTTGGGGAAATATATCCAGTGAGGATTAAGTAAAAGCTTTAAAAAGGAGAGGAGTTGCCTTAAGATCTCAGTCCTCCTGTCTATCAGAATGAGTCCCCTTAAAAAATGAACATTCTCTTATCCCCTCTTTTTTTTTTTTTTATATCCTTACCCAAAGACATTTTTTTCATTGGTTTTATAGAGAAAGGTGAGTAAGGACAGAGAGAAATGTTGGTTTGAAAGAGAAGCATCGATTGCTTGCCTCCTCACACGTGCCCCTACTGGGGATCAGACTTGCAACCTGAAATGTGCCCCAAACAGGAATTGAACCCACAACCTTTTGGTCTGTGGGATGGCATGCCAACCAACAGAGTCACATTGGCCAGGGTTATCTGCCACTTCTAAAAACAGCATTCCAGGACTTCTAGTCAAGATGGAGGAGTATCTCTCCTTGCACGACCACAGCAAAGATTATATAGCTGGACTACAAAAAAAACTAGCACTCAGAATCATCAGAAAATTGAGCTGTATGAAAGTCCAATCACACAGGAATAAAGAAGTCACTTTCATCCTTATGGGTAGGAGGGACAGAGACAAGAAGATTCGGAGACATGGAAGGGGTGGTCCCACACCCACAGGTGGTGGGTAAAAATCAGGAGGGATACATCAGGAGTGAGAGATCCCAGGCCCACACCATAACACCCAGCCCCAGGTTCCAGTGCCAGGAGCACAACTCCCCATAACTCCTGGTTATAAAAACTAGTAGGGGTTGGGGCAGTGGAAGAAACTGCAGGATTCTCAGGCATCTCCTCTGAGTCAGGGCCCACAACAGACTTAGGACTACACAGACTCACTCTCTCTCTGGGCTCCATCACCAGGGCAACAGCTGGAAGGGTACCAGTGACATACAGGAAGAAGCTGAAGTGTCTCGCTTCAGGGAGAGTACTAGGGGACAACTTCCTCCCAGACAAAACTCCAGAGGCCAGGCAGTGGCCATTGTCCTTTTCCTAAGGCCTCCCCCACACGGAGACAAAGCCTGAAACTGTATCTGGGACTCCATCATCCTGGTTCACATGGGTAGCCCTGTCATGGCAATTTCCTCAGGCTCTGCCCCTTCCAACTTATGGGTGTGCTTTTCTACACGCTAGTAAGACAGGGAGTCAAACCAGCTCTCCCTATACATAGAAACAAACACAGGGAGGTTGCCAGATTGAGGTGACAAAGAAATATGGCCCAAATGAAAGAACAGAACAAAACTCCAGAAAAAGAACTAAACAAAATAGAGATAAGCCATAGATACAGAGTTCAAAAACACTGGTTATTAGGATGCTCAAAGAAATCATTGGTTACTTCCCAAGAGCACAAAAAAGACCCAGGCAGGAATGAAGTTTACACTGAGTGAAATAAAGAAAACGTTGCAGGGAATCAGCAGTGGAGTGAATGAAGCCTAGAATCAAATCAATACTTTGCAACATAGGAAAGAAAAAAATAATCAGAACAGCAAGAAGAAAAAAGAATAAAAAAAAATGAGGGTAGGGTAAGGAGTCTTGGGGACAACTTCAGACGTACCAACATTCAAGTCATAGGGGTGCTGGAAGGAGAAGAGAAAGAGCAAGAAATTGACAACTTATTGAAAAAATAACAAAAGAAAATTTCTCTAATTTGGTGAAGGAAATAGACATATCAGGTCTGTCCAGAAGGTATCCAGCCATGTAATATGAAAAATAGAAACATTTATACAAGAAGATACAAGATGTGAGAAACATTGTACATAGGACAATGACACCTCAGTCCCCTTCAAAGTAGCCACCTTGGGTTCTAACACAGTTCTCCTGGTCACCATCAGTTGCCCTGTCGTATTCTCCTGAATCTCACTGATGATCTAAAATCTCTCCCTTTCAAGGGTGATTTTAGTTTTGGGAAAAGCCAGAAATCACAGGTGCCAAATCAGGGCTGTAAGGGGCTGAGTCAGCTGGGTGATTGGATGTTTCACAAAAAAACTCTGTACTAGATGTGAGATGTGATACATGAGCAGGTCTCATCAGGTTGCTCATAGCTGTGGCCTTCCGAGTCATCTGAATACTTTCCACAGAGGAATGTTGAAGCTTAACACAAAATCTGATGCAAATTTGTAGCTCTAGTCATTTTGAAGACAACAGCCACCCAGTACACATGCTCACTCAATGGCTTTTACCACCCCCACTGACTAGTACAGTGAAGTCATCATTCTTCATGCATGTGCATTCCAGTCCACTTTTCTTGGCTGCCAGGTTACATCAATGTTGCACAAATCGTTCTCACTATAGTAATGATGGCTGAGCTTTTTCCAGACAGACCTCATACTAGTTCAGGAAGCACAAAGAGTCCCAAACAAGGTGGATGTGAAGAAGCCCACATCCAGACACATCATAATGAAAATGTTAAAGGGTAAAGATAGAATCTTAAAAGCAGCAAGAGAAAAGCAGATAGTTACTTACAGTGGAGTTCCTATAAGACTGTCAGCTAACTTCTCCTACAAAACTTTGCAGGCTACAAGGGACTGGCAAGAGTATTCAGAGTCAGGAAAAGCAGGGACCTACAGTCAAGATTACTCTATCCAGCAAAGATATTTAGAATAGAAGGGCAGATAAAGAGCTTCCCAGACAAGAAAAAAAAACTAAAGGAGTTCATCATCACTAAACCATTATTATATGAAATGTTAAGGGACTTAAGAAAACGAAGATCAAATCTGTGAACATTAATATAGCAATTAAATTTGCAACTATCAACAGTTGAATATAAAAACAAGCAGAACAGAAACAGAATCATATATATGGAGATGATCACTTGGAAGTAGGGAGGGGAATAGGGGAAAAGTTTCAGGGATTAAGAAGTACAAATTGGTACAGAATAGCCATGGGGTTGTAAAGTACAGTATAGGAAATAAAGAAGCCAAAGAACTTACATGTATGACCCATGGACATAAACTAAGGGTAGGGAATTGCCAAAAGCAATGGAGGTACCGGGTGGAAGAGGGCAAAGGGGAAAAAAATGGGACAACTGTAATAGCATAATTAATAAAATATATTTTATAAATAAATAAATAAAAACAGCATTCCAAAGACATGGGATCCCTAAAGAAATAATATAGGAAATACCCTTCAGAAATACAGTCCTAAGTAGATAACAAATATACAATTTGGTTTTTCTCACATATAATACTTAGTTCCAAAATGTATCTCTATTATAACCCTGTAAGGCTTATGAATATCCTGAGTTCTTTATCTTTCTTAAAAAAGCTTTTTCTGATGACAAAGAGAAAGCAAATTGTCCAGATCCTTGGCAAAGCCTAATGGTTCATAAAGTTCAAGGATTCATGTGTGTACACATGTGTAGGTGTCCTACATACATGGCTGCAAAAATCACCCAGCACAGTTTCCACTTTTAAATTTGGAGCACTGCATCAAGTTGTATTGTCAGCAGTAAGGATGGACTTGCATTGTAAATACTCAGCTTTCTTTTGGTTAGTTTCCTTTGTATCCCTGGAAGTAGAAATTAGGTGAAAGAAACAGATCTCTAGAGTTGAGACTTGCCCAAGGTCACACAGCTGATCAGTGACAGAGCAAAACTCAAATCCAGGGCTTCTGACTTCAGGTCCTGTGCCCTTTTTTGTTTTGTTTTATTATATTATACTATACCACAGTGCTATGTATAGCACTCAAGGTTCTAACTCTGTCCTCATTTTTAGAATACTTTTAGATGGTAGTGGTATTGATATTTAATCTTCATAGAAACCCAGTATGGGAGGCACTGTGATTTTCCTTATTTTATAAGTGAAGAAACTGAGGCCCAGAGAAGTAAAGAGCTTGATCAAGTCATACATTTAGTGACAGAGCAGTCAGAGTTTGAACCCAGACAGTATACTCCAGGGCCCACGCCAAGCCACCGAACTGCTGCTCTGACCAACTGAATGCATCTGTGCAAAGGCATTACTGTTTGACCTCAGGGTATGTGTGTTTCATATTTTCTTAGCTATGCTTAAAATTTATTATCTGCTTAAAATTGTGATTTTTAGGACATATAAAGAGAAAGAATATGTGTGGTTCGTCTCAAGATATATATTACTGTCCGTATCAAAATCTCCAGCTCAGAGTCCTTAAAAAAACAAAACTTTGGCCCTGTCTGGGAGTAGCTCCATTGGTTAGAGCATCATCTCGATACGCCAGAGTTGCAGATTTGATCCCAGTCAAGGCACATACGAGAATCAACCAATGATGCATAAACAAGTGGAACAACAAATTGATATTTTTCTCTCACACTCCTGGCCACCATCAGAAAAAGAAAACTACATTTTAAAAAATGAAATTTGTTAAATTTTCAGAAAGAGGGAAAGTGTCATAAGCATTTTCCAAAATGTTATTTTTTAACTGAGAAAGCAAAAATTATGTAGATTATTTAAAGATGTTTGACTCATTGGGTAGTGGAAAACTTAAGTAAATCATAATGTACACAGCATAATGCGGGTAAAGTGGTGCTGCATAACCCATTTGTTTTTAGACTTCTAGGTTGCTCCACGGGAACCCTTCGACTCAGCTTATCCTTTCTGCTGCATTTCCACTACAACAGAGCACTTTTCCTCAATCACATCACCAGCAACACCAGCCTCAGCAGCAACAACAGCAACTGAGTCGGCACAGGACTGACGCTTTGACCGATCCTTCCAAGATTCAACCACAGTAGCACACGTCTCCTCTCTGACCTCAAGGGAGGAATGGATTGGCCCCTAATGAGTTGCTCAGATGTTCTGAGGATTAGGAGTTTCATGAGATGCGGTATTGAGTGTTCTAATTCCTGGAATTAGTTAGCAGGGAAAATGCTACTTAGTGGTACAGATGTACATTAAATACCAGCCATCAGGAAATGATCTTAGGGCCATAGCCAATTCCGACAGTGTTTTCATTGCCCAGATATTTTTTGATGGAAAGAGTATATTGCCAAATGTTGAGAAGCTCAGCTATGAAATATGACCTCTAGTGAATCAGAAAGGCACTAACAATGTTAGTAACTTTGAGTGGTTCTGTGCCTGTTTTCAGGGGTTTGCTTACAATGATGCCATGAAGACAGTCCAGTAGACCCAGTAGGCCCTCTTCCCCAAACCCTCTCCCTTTTCAGACAATGATGAAATCATAGTTTCACAATGTTGTGTGGGTTCATATTCTCTATGTACAGATGCTGTAAAAATATTATGTATATGTCTGGATACAAGGAAAGAAAGCAAAACATTTTGTATGCTGCATGAAAGCATTATCTTCTCCTTAAAGGTATGAGTACATTTCCTTAGATTCTAATGCCATGTGCAGACTAATACATCCTTTATTTTCCCTTTTGTTTACAACACGATAGTGTTCCATTCACTTTTCCGGGGCACAAGTCTTTTGTTCATACTTGGCTGTGATGTCACAGTTTGTTCAGAGAGGTATGATGTGCTGCTGGGAATGGATTTTTTTTTCAGGTTAAATGATTGAAATAACAGGCTTTTCAAGTTACTCAGAAGTATCCCTCATTTCATTGTTTTTCAATAATGTTTGAAGATAGGATTTGCACTGCTTTATTTTAGAAGGTTGGGAGTTTTGATCTTATATTTTGATATAGTTCATAGTTGGAATAGTTGTATAAATGGCTTTCAACACCTGAAAGTAATTTCATGAATGTTTCAGTTACAGGAGTAAAATTTGCACACAAAACATTTTAGGCACTTTTTAACATTCTCACTGGTGGGAATTTTAACTTTTAGGATTTGTTGGAATCTTTTTATTATCCTTCACAATTTCAATGGTTCTTTTAGTCAGAAATGATTCAGGGTTATTTGAGGGGGAAAAAACCCATAGTGCCTTGATTTTGATTCAGGTGATAACTCACCACGTTGAACTCATTGTCCAGTTTCAGTGGCAGTTTTGAAACCTTAGTACATTTTTAATAGCATGTGGGTGTCAGTGCCATTATTCTCCTGAGTCCTTATGAAGACTGCTTCGAGTCTCTTGGACTGGAGGTACAAATAATTTAGAAATAAAAGATGACATCTTAACACCTTTAGAGTCATTACTGTGATCTTAAATTGTTTTTCTCAGCATTTTTTTGAAGCTAAGTAGTCATTGCAGAATTATCAGTAAATATTTGCTCAGTATGATTTCTACAAAGAAAAAAGTGTAGGAATTTGCTTTGCCTTCATACAACACTAGAGTAATGTAACTCACATGCTTTCTAAACATGAACTAAGATTTCATTTGGCAATTTCATATTCCAAAGGTAATAAATTCCAACAGAAATTATATTCGTAAAAAGCATTTTATATATTCTATGGTACTAATAATTAAATTTACAACTATAGAGCAAGGGAAAATTAATGGAAAATATCTTGCTAGAATATTAAAAATTATTACTGAGGATAGGGAAAACAGCAAGCTGTAATACATCAAAACTGAATTTAGAAAAAAATGCATAACAGAATCCAGGCTGTTAAACAGGAAAGGCTTTGAGCAGTGAAGGTAACCTAATACAGACTTGTTGGATGAAGGAGTCGGAGGAACTCTGCGCCCATTCCTAACGCTTTTCTGTCCTCAGCTTTGCTGTTATCCATAAGGGATCCGTTGTCTTTCTGTAGAAAACCATTCCTGGCCACACTTAAATTAGAAGATGTTGCAAATGAAAACAACCAAAGAAAGTTGGTACCTACCCTTCTGTTAAGAGAAGTGTCACTAGATACCAATCAGTAATCAACATATCAAGAGCTCCTCTTCTAGCTAAATGGTCATCCAGAAGAGATTTCTGACTTTCTCATGAATGTCAAGGATAGTTGTCAAGCGTATGTGTGTGCTTGAGCATACATACACACAGACAAAATTGATGTTGTAAAATAGGGCAACAGTATTAATTCCCTTCCCTTTCAAATTGCCTTTGTTAAATAACCATGTTATGCCATTCCATATATATCTGAGTTGTGCCTCATTCATTCATGGGTGATATCTAGTGATAGGGATTTATCTAATGAAAGAGATGAAGAACTATTAAGGTTTATCTTCCAAGTACCATGCTTAAAAGAAAGATGGTGGACCGTGAGTACTGTGTACTTAGATTTAAAAAAGCCAAGCCTAAGACAAATTAGGCAAAATCTTGCATTTATAATAGGCAAAATCTTGCATTTATAATTTCTGTTGTTCCTCGCAGTTTTTTTCTGCTTAGAATTGGCTGCTTAAATTTAAAGGAACAGCTACCTGCTTCTCCTTTGTCGTCAGTAGGCATATGTTGTGTTGGAAAAGCTGCTAAGCACCACGGCCTCTTAGCTCCTCGTTTAACTGATTTCCTCTGCTTCTCTTGAACTTAGATTGCAAAGTTGCCCCTGCCCCCTTGACTGTTCTGATGAATAGTCAGCAGTTGCCTGATCTTCATTCATTTCTGTAGCCAAAGTTGTTAACTGAAATCCTAAATCTAAGTTGTGAAAAAACACAAAGTAGGAAACACCTTTAAGCTACTTAAAAACCATTTTTCTTCTGCTTTACTCTCATGGTCATTTTTTCTTCAAAATAAGACATTTTATTCTAGGTGGCACTTTTTGGGTAAGAAACTGTAGAAGATCAGGCCAAATGTTAGCTGTTGTGCAGTGGTTATCTGCTTTGGACTGCCTCGGCACTGAGTGAGTCAGTAAGTATTGTTTTAACAACTACAAGTGAAGTAGAGAAGGACCAATGGAATTGCTGCTGAGAGTGGTGTCAAACCTGAGCCTAGACACTCACAAATTCTCTTTTTTGAGTGGGAAATACTGACTGAAAAGCATACATGGAGGGTGCAGGTAGCATTAATACTAGTCTCCAAACTCTGTCCTAAGTTGAGGGGGTAGTTTGAGCCCTGTGCTCTGCTTTGTCACTTAAATATGGTTTAGGAATATACCAGTAATAAGAGGATGCCTGTGACTTTGAGTGATTATAGAATACTGAGTTCAGGAGAGTGGAAATGATAACTTGGATTCTTCAGAAGTGCTGTAGTTGTTGGTTGTTGCCTTAAAGCAGTCTGTCTGCAGTTTGGCACTGCAGCAGTGTGGCTCTGTTGCAGGCATTGGGCGCTGAAGGGAGATGAACCCTTGTTCAAGAAGCCTTAGATAGGGTCCTACAGACAGGGGAAAGTTATTAACTGGATGTTACTCAACATGTTTAAAATGTTTCCACTACATTGAGGTAAAACCCTTTTTTTTTTTTTGAAGTAGAATGCAAACAGCATTTTACTCTAGTATTGTTCATTTATTGTTTTCTTTTTCTTTGGTGATTGAAAGTTTGTTGAACATTTGTATAAAACTCATGCAAATCTATGACCTTTCCAATATCTGTGACCCTGTTCATAGTCCCTCGGGAGTCAGTGTTGGAAGGTGTAAACACTGGATATTGCTATTGCTGAGTGAGTCTACCCAGGAGTACGTCGATCGGAATTTTTAGATGGTGGAAAAGAAACAGCACAAAGGCACTTGCCATTTTAATAGTGATTGAGGAAAGAGAACCTTTTAAGTTTGTATGTGTTGGGTGAGCATTGTTCTAAAAGGAGCTTCTGAAGTAACTGCAAAGGAAAAGAGTCGACTATTTTTATAGCATATTTAATATATTTGTATATAACTAAGACTATAGTAGGAACCACCCTCCACACGCCTCCCACTTTTCTACTCCCCCCACCCCTTGCCATAGCACTAGCATAGCCTCGTCCGCATGGGTAATGTGCCTATTGTCAGCCTACCAAAAGATAGTGCTGCTGCTTTCTGAGACAGGTGAGAAGACCCAACTCTCATGCCTGGGGATCCTTTTATAGGAATAGCACACACTTAAAACAACATACCACAGTCTAAAAGCATCATTTTGAAATATAACAAGCACTTTATTGCAATTATTCATTTTGATAAAGTTTGTCTTAGGCATTATCATTTCTAATGGATCCCCAAATCATCACTTAGGTGAAATTTTAAAATGACACATTTCTGAGAAATGTTTAGATCCAGTGAACCGTAGTAGGTTTATGGGAGTGATTTCAAGGTAGCCAAATGAACTTGACTTTTGTTTTGAATGTGGTGGAGTTGAGACTGTCGATGCTAGTCCATTTAGACACTATTGTAAACCTATCTTGCCTAATGTGTGGACACCAAAAGAGCCTGTTTATTTTCAGATGTGTAGGAAAATTTTATCAGTGTGAATAGATGTACAGAACTAACCTAAAAGTGATTGTTAGTAATATTTTAGAATACAATCATTTCAAGAATTATTCTGGGTGTTTTAAATGTGCTCTGAAATGTTGGCATGTCATTTCAGCGTTCCCGTTTGAATTGCTCTTGTAATATTTTTGCACAAAAAGGACTAAGAAAAAGACTACTTTGGTTGAAGAAAAAAGTATTTTTATTTTAATGACTCCTGTGGAAACACTGGGGATGAATTTTGTTGGTGTAGTTATAATTCAGGATATTTAAAACAGTATTGAACAGCTCACAAGAAATTAAACAACTTGGATATTTAAAAATTAAAACTCCATGTGACTGTTTTGCATATTTCCCCCATCATAATTTAACACTACATTCCTTGTTTTTCTTAAATAAAATACTTTGCAGGTTGTTTTGAGTATTTAACATATTTTGTAAGCTACCTGGGTTTTCCTAAGGAAATGTCCTTTGATGAAACAGGATATAGTCTATGAAGAAATAAAGTGAAATTCCATTACCACCACCAGCAAACACTGAGGTGCTGCATTAAGTGACAATCAAAATAGTGAGTATTTATGGAAGAATTTAGAAAGTGGTTTTAAAGCAATTGCTTTGTAAGCAGTTCTCTGGGTTTCTTGAATAAAAATGGCTACATGTATTTATTTATATTTTTGAATATCTTTGTGCTGTTTTCTTATCAGAGCAATCTCATAGTGTCATGTATTTAATTTGTGGTTTCTTTTGTTTTGCCTTGTAGTCCTTTACTTTAGAGAACTGGCTTTTCTTCTGTGGGGTGCAGTCTCTAGCCCTCATGACACCTCCGCACAGGCCATCCAGACCTGTTGTACTTCAGAACAGCAGTGGAAGGCCCAGATCCAGATGCCTCTGCACTTCCCTCCTGTCCCAAACTCATTTAAGAAAAACAAAACAAAGGTAACTTCCTTCAAGTTTGCTTTGTATAGCTCCAACCTTTTTCTAGTTTTACTTGCTGCCTTTTCCATTTTGGGGGCACTTTTTATATGATTACAGCCAAAGGCCAGTACAACAGAACCAACGGCGGCGTGCAACGGCGGTTGGTTGGTGCAGAACCAACAGGCGGCCAATGCCTGTTTTGCCCATTTGGGGAACTGTTAATAAAAAGGATCAGCATCTTCTAACGGCCCTTACTATCATATCCATATTAAAATCCACTTAAGGTCTTTAAGCATAGGCGGATAATGTGTACACACTGCAAACTCTTCCACAGAAAATGTTTGCTGTCTCTGTGGTGTAATGTTGCTTGGTTCTTTAAAAACAAAATAAAACCTTTATACATAGCACTATTCAGAAAAGCAGTGATTGAACATTGGAAGCCTAGGAACCAGAGGGTTCTTCTTGCTGGTGGGCACTGGAGCAGTGTTCTCTACTTCAGGTCTCCCAGAGGTAGCTCCTGAGTCCCACAGGTGCAGGGCACTTGTCTCGCTTTTGGGATCCCTTAGAGAACGGTAATTAAAGCAAGTTGGATTAAATGATGTAACATAAGTTTCTTAACTCTGAGGGTTAAATTGAAGATGTGTTCTCAAATGTATGCTTTTACATTTCTGAGGAAACAAACTGTGACATCGCGTTAAAAAGGACATCCAGATGTTTTATAATAGGTGTTCTCTAGTTGGCCTGTACTGGTACAAATTCACTGCTGGCCACGGTTGTGCCATGACTAGAAGCTATACTATCTTCATAAGTTTTCTGTAACTAGACAATCATCATCAAGCAAAAAAAATGTCCTGTTAACTTTTCAGTAGCCATAAACAGCTGTAACTTTAGACGAGTCTAGAATCAAGTTGGAAGCTATTTTATTGCATAAGCTGGGGAAGGACCTCTGTATGGCACTTGCCCATTCACTCTGTGTAAAGATTGAAGCCCAAAGATGAGTTTAATTCGTGCTGTATTGAAACCAGTTAGTGCAAAAAACCAAAAAAAGTTTTATCTTTGTAAATTTTTCATTGTTAACATGAGTTGGTAGCTGTAAAAACAGACACCGAATTCTTTCTAATGTTCTGTGTGCTACACTGCTGTCCTTACTGCTTGGTTCTTGGTTTTAAATAAAATTTAGATGTAGCCTAACAATCTTACTTTTGAAAGGGTGGAGCTGCAAATGGCTAACTGATCTTCTCATGGAGTACCTCTTTTTCGCTAAAGCAAACACCGAACTGAAATCCAAGTAGTTATACAAGAAACAAGCCTGACCATTTTCCAGGTAGTCTTTAGCCCAAATTCTGAACTACACAGAAGCACGAAGGGATCATGAATGGTTTCCATGGTGCTATCTTAGGTTCTCTGCTGATTTTCATGAGCTACGTGTGGAAATACAATGCTGTATAAAATATGGATCATTTTGTTACCAATTTAATATTGCCATTTTAATTCAGTTTTAAAATTGGTTCCACTTGCTTATCAAAGCTACCCTTTAAGAGGTACAACTGTTATTTACCTTCACTCAGGCCTCTTGCTATATGATCAGTTTTCCAAGTTATGATATGCATAGTTTTTTTAAAACTACATGTACTATTATAATGCTCTTGCCCATACTCTTGTATTCAGAACCTAAAGTTACAGAAGAGCCAAGCACTAGCATTTTTTTTGTAAGTGTAAAAAAATTAGGTCCAAACTTTGTTTCCTTATTCAATCTTAAAAATAAAAAATACCTCAGTGCTGTTTTCAATATCACTTGCATTTCTCAAAAAAAAACCTCAAAAAACCAAACAATAACACCTGCTTTTATGTGGCACTTATAGGAATTACATTATTTTGGGTTTTAAAGAGTATTAAATATTTTTAAAAATCACCACCAATGAAATTTTCTTTTTTTATTCAGCAGTGGATTCTACCTAACATTAGTGATTTTCACCTTGTAGCTTAGGTCGGAGCTACCAAATTCAGCAGTTATGTCCTGTTAACAAGCTTGTGGTGCCTCAGAAAGCTGTTCAGTTATTCACACATTAAGCTGGTCCTAGGACCAGGCCACCAGCACCGCCAGGTCTGGGCTATGACGGCACAAGCTTCTTTTGAACAAGATGTGTCCTTTCTCTTCTTGGAAAAGAACGTAATCCCTTGCTCGTTTTTGGTTATAATATGTAAGGCAGTATAAGGAGTATCTTAAGTGTAGAGAATGGTGGTGCAAGTCTGGGGACTTAACCTGAAATATCTTTGAAGTGCTTTATATTAATCCATGGACATTGTTTTTCCTCTCACACACACTTTTCAAGAGTTCTCTACCTGCCATAAAGTTTTGAAACATGACTTTTTGTCAATATGCACAACTGCTACCTCATAGAACCAAGGGAGGGTTAAGTGAGAGCTTTAGAACAATGTTTGGCCTGTTTTTTACATCAACTTTAGAAACTATATAAACATTAATGCTACTCTGATAAAATAGGAAGTTATGAACTTGCATAACAAAAGGGAAAACAAGCACTGGTCATACCACTTTTATTTGCATTGTATCTGTTACATTGTTTATTCAATATAGAAAAAATATGAATACACTCACTGTATTCTTTAATTTGGTAATTCCACATTGTCAAATATTGACTATTTTATATTGGGCTTCCTACCCAATTTAGAAATAATAATGGCCTGGCAAACAAGTGTCATATTACTGACATAACAGTACAGTTGTCCCTTGGCGCCTGAGGGGACCGGCTCCAGGGCTTTCTCCCAACCCGAGGATGTGCAAGTCTCTTCCATAAAACGGTGGAGTATTTTCATACCGCCGACTCACGTCTACTTTAGATCATTTCTAGATTATAATACCTCATTCAATATAGATGCTATGTTATAGTTATATACTGTGTTTAAGGAATGATAGGAGAAGTCTCTGCATGTTCAGTACAGACACAACCATCCATTGTAGCCCTAACTACACATCCGTCAGCAACAATGTAACATTTTTTTTCAATTATTTTCAGTCTATGGTTGGCTGTATCTGTGGATGTGGAACCTGTAGAAGAACTAATACATTTCTCTTGCTTTTTTTCTTTCTTTTAAACAACCTAATTTTGAAAAGACTTAGGATTAAACTAGTCCTTATTCAGAGATAATACTTTAAAAGATGGAAATTAATTCATTATTCCCCAGGAAAAGTTCTAAGATAAGCATATTAAAGCACCCCAGTGATCCAGGAAAAACATGTATATTCCTTCTAAAGGAGTCAGTGCTAAAAGGAAATCAAATGGTAGACCGGAAAGAGTCCTCAAAACAAACCATATTAACATAATTGTGCTGGAAAAAAGAAAGATCCACACTTAGACCGCAGGTTTCTTTTAAAAATCCATGTTGCAAATAGAATCAGTGATTATTTTTTTGGACATAATAACTCATTGCTACAAAATACAGTTACTTTCCATCACTTTTAGTTTCAGTGTATACTATGTACATAAACACGAGCTACCTCTCTTAAACTAAATACAAATGAATAAAGAGCTTGTTAAAAACCAGAATCAGGACTTATAAATAGTGCAGAAAATGCAAACGCCAAAAATACGATGCCTCCTATGATCGTCACTGTAAGAAAAGAGAAAAAAAAGTTACATTAAGGCATGAGGAAGCTATTATTCTTCCAATCTAGTAATTTAACCTTAAAAGCAAATTAAAAATGCAAAGAACACTTAGCATGGCTGACTCTGAATAGTGTAGATCAGTACCTTCTCCAGCACTGTTTTGAGAAATGACTGAATTACATTAAATTAAGACAGTGCTGGGAAACAACAGTAGAACCAGAACTCACCTTACAACCCAGTAATAAAAGAGTGTGTCAAACAAATTCTGGCTAGCAAAGAGACATCTTTAGGGCCTACCCAGTACACATGAAATTTTCAGCAGAATCAGTAAATACAGTCGCTACCTGTGATTCCCAATCTTGTAAGACAGATTTTGAGGCCAAAAAGTTCTCATATTTCCACATGACGACTGTTTTACTGACTTGAATCTGCCCTGAATCCAGTAATGCTTACAGGTGAATGTGCTTTCTACACCATCCACACAAGGGAAAAACAGCCTGTTTGCACCAGCAGAGGCAACACAACAGACCCCATTACAAAGGCATTACATCTACTTCAGATGTAAGAATTTAAATAATTGAAACTGCCCTTTCTAAGCTTTCTAAGCTTCACTCCAAGAGTGAAACATATGGTATATTTTTGTAATTAAAAAGGAAACAGTCCTGGCTGGTGTGGCTCAGTGGACTGAGTGCCAGCCTATGAACCAAAGGTTAACTGGTTCGATTCCCAGTCAGGGCACATGCCTGGGTTGTGGGCCAGGTCCCTGGTGGAGGGGTGCACACGAGAGACAACCATATACTGATGTTTCTCTCTCTCCCTTCCCCTCCCTAAAAATAAATAAATACCTTTTTTTAAAAAAAGGGAAAAAATACTTACCAGTTCGGACAGAGATTTTTTGTGCTATCATTCTTCCTCCAATCACAGCCAACCCAGTGCATAAACAGTGCCCCACTGTTCCTCCCACGGCCACACCACAGGGGTCCTGGAAACAAAGATGACCGTAAAGTACTGGAAATGTAGATCAACGACATAAAACAGTTCTAAAAATTCAGATGTATACTTAGAAACTTGTAATAGCTGCTTGAAGGAATGTTTCCATTATGTGTAGCACTAGAGATAAAAGAAAAAACCCACATAGTCCTAACCTAGGCAACTCTCCCCTTAGACAATATTTGACACAGAAAACTAAGTAATCCTAGTTTACAGTCCAGTCTGACTGCACTTCCCAAGAAGAGGGACCTGGCATCCCTCCTTCTGCACTGTGTCCTCAGGCATGACAGCCAAGTTTCTCGGTTACAATTCTCTGGATGAATTACGGTTAACACCAGCGTGGTTAAAAAGGTAGGGGAAACGACAGAGAAGTTAAAGGGGAGAAGGTCAAGGTCCAGCTGAGTTCAGCGGTGAGTGAGTGACAGGCCCGAATAGAGCAGCCCTGTGAGAGAATTCAGAGAAGGACGCTGAGAACACCATGGTGAGGAAAGCAAGACTCAGGGATGACAGAGGAAGAGGTGCCCAAAGGAGACTGGCCAGGCGGCCAGGCAAAGAGCCTCCTCCCAAGAGAACCTCCGCGGGACCTGCCGCGGCTGCAGCGAACTGGAAGCTCTGGATCACCTTTACTGGTGAGCCCAGAAACTGGTTCTCCGGGGTCTAGTGAGCAAGGAAGAAGAGCCAAGCCCTCTGAGACAGAGGAAAGGAGGAAGAGGGTGGTATTTAGAAGAGAAGTAGAACTGAGGAAAGGGTAAAACTTTTTTAGATGAGAAAAACTTCTGCATGTTAAAGAGTTCATAAAATCAGGTTGGGAGGAGGCAAAGATTTCAGCTGTAAGTGGGCAGAAAGGAGCTGGGGTGCAGAATGCAGGACGGCAAGGACTGCCACAGGTGGGTGGGAACGAGGCAGACCGACTCCTGCCGGGAAGTACAGGGAGGCTGTTTGCTGAGGAGCAGGCAGCGGGTGTGCAGAAACTGGGGGAATGGAGATGGTTTAAAACGTGTGCCGGGAGGAACCGAAGGGAGACTACATTTGCCAAACTCTTAACTTCTAGAACTGGTAAGGCAGAAGATGCTTTCATTCTATCTGAAAGTAGTATCTGAAAAATTACTGGATTAGATGAAATTAAATAGTTCATTTATCACAGGATTTGTCAGTCTTTGCTATTTTCTATACTCAGTACTCAAAACAAAACAAAAAAGCCCACCAGTATATATTACCTGACAAATTTAGCTGACTCTGGGACCTTCTCCTCAACTTCTAACATGGCAAAGGACCCTAGGATTCTGTGAAATTCAATGTGGGAACACTAAGTTATACTGGAAGGAGAAGTGAAGTTCAGACTACAATGTACTGAACCAGACTGCGTGATTTTTCACGAAAAGGAAACACTAAGGGATTAAGAAGATACCCACACTTCTACCCACAGGGTCACATGCCCATGGCGCCAGCAGCGTGGAAGGCAATGAGCGCCGAGTGCTCGCTGTGCTGGGCACCCTGTACGCACTGCCCTGATTCACAGAACCACCGACACGACAGGCCGCAGGGAGGTGCTGCCCTAGTGTGGTCACACGGCCAGCAACACAAACCCAGTCAGCAAGTGCCACGCTACGAGACCATCCTGGGCCTTTCGCAGGTGCCCTTCAGATGACAGTACTAAGGAAAGTGTGGTAACTGTCATCACCTCAGCGGGACTGTCACAGCCACCGCCACATCACGGCCTCTTACGTTCAGGTCCCAGTGCTGGGAATCCGAAAGGCAATTAAAAAATCCTACAAGTCAAGACAATTATAGGGCAAAGCCACTAAAGTGACATTTTAAAGTTTGTTTTAAAATGTGGGAATAAAATGAAAAACCAGATTCCATTTTTTCTCCAAAATACAGCGTTTTCAAAGTTTCTCTAATAAAACAGCCCATCCAAATATTAAACTGCAGTCTTTGTTAAGGAATCTGTTCTTTCATATTTCCTAGGAGTTAAAAACAAATTCAAATCAAGCTTGTTATCCAAATCCTATCATCAGATAAAAACAATGTAATTTTAGCAGATATAAAAACATTTAGGGCCCTGGCTGGTATAGCTCAGCGGATTGAGCACAGGCCTGCGAACCAGACAATCGCGGTTCAATTCCCAGTCAGGGCACATGCCTGGGTTGCAGACCAGTTCCCTGCAGGCCAG